ATATCTAGAGTGTGGTATGGTAGATGAGTGGTGGTGAAGAAGAAAGCCTACAAGTCGGAAGCAAGAAGCTTTGCAGACTGCTTCTTCAATGCGAGAAACTAATTTAACAGAGATTGCATCTGTGTGAATACAAAATTCGATTTCACAATTAAATATTTGTGTATTTTTAAAATTTCTTGACATTCTCAATTAGTAACGTAGGGCGATGAGTTGAAATTTTTAAAACACTCTCAATTGCTTCACTATACTTAGCCCAAGTGAAGACGCCGAGCTGCAGAAGAATGCAAACAACTGGCCAGAAGAGTGTTGAGCCCTCGTCAATTGAGAAAAATTATCCCTTGTTGCATTATGTAAAAAATGCTAATACCTGATATCGTATCGAACATAATATTAAGTTGTTATTCTTGAAGGTTAAACAGAAAAGTGATCTGTTATCGACTATAATTGTGTGGATAGTGATCAATTTTAAATAATAAATTTGAGTTACTTATGAGTGCACGTCAGAAGACGCCACCCTCGGACGGTGTGCGCGAGGAGGTGAAGAGGCCGACTTATTTATTAACATGTTTCCGTCAAAGGCAGTCAAATTGACCCATTTTCGCTGCCGTAAAATTTTCAGTCGCGCAGAAGAAACACCAATTATCATAGATAATTAAAATGTTATCGAAATCATTAATTTTAATGAATTTTTGAGGCGATCAACATCTCTATTTGCCCTATGACTATCGTCTCTACGTGATTATAGGCGCGAGAGAGGCTGGAACCGAGTGAGAGGCTCTAAGAATTCTCGACACGATCATTTCGTTTCGATCAGTAAACAACAATCAATAAACATAGATCATTATTCATTTTCTTGTTTCATCGAATAAATGTCAGAACTTTTTGTTGTCTCTTTATTTATTTTGTTACGCTTTTTTCTGGGTAGAGCCTAGCCATCATCTTAGGCGTCCACGGTGCGCGTTATGTTATTACTTTGGGTGCTTTAATAAATAAGAAATTTTATTATTGCCTTTGTTGCCGGTGTGTGCATCTTTTGGGGACGTGCTATGATGGTTACCGGATCGAATTGATTGACGTTGATTTGAATTAAATGGATCTTTCAGAATGAATAAAGCATTATATTGAGGCACAACTAAGAGACCTGATACATAATGATAGATATCAATAACTTGATTGATTATACGTTTACCAAATCATAAGAGGAGATAAAATAGGAGCAAAAGAATTTAGACACATTCTCCAGAGCCTCTTTTTCAGTCTCTCTTCCCTCTTCCTCACTCCCATGCCGTGCTATTGGTGGGCAACAGTGTGCTTCGGCGACGGAGAGTTTGTTGAATGTGTTTAAAATGTGTTTATTTTATTATGACTTTTATTAATAGTCTGCCACATCTCGGTGCTTATTAAATTGTAAAATATAAGTTCTCTTTTTTCGCCCAATGCTTCGCTATTAAATAAATTACGACTGTCCATTGTGTATAATTAGCTTTCAATACCTAGTCAAATGACAGATGGACGCGAACGGCCTTTACCGGGTGAGGAGATATGGCATTTTAGGAGAGCACTCGATCATGGAAATTATGCTGATACCATTTACAGATAGACATTGACAGGGAGGAATGAGAAAAATGAGACGGATAATTTGGCCAGAGAATGCGACTCTCTCTCGTTTTTTTTTCTTTTCTCTCTGGTCTCTACCATGTGCAAAATTTACCCACATGTCTACATTTTTCCCATTAACTTTTCAATAGGGCTCATCATGTCACAAATCGCCTTCCCTCATCTCCAAAAGTCGAGTACCTGAAATCTCTCTCCTCCTTGGAATAACACCGATGCCGGACTCCCTTTGAGTTTCTGATACCCGACGATGGCTCACAGAAGCTGAAACTGAAGTAGCCACTCTATTAAAAGTTTATTCAAAAGGTGGGAGCATTTTGAGGCAATTGTTAATTTTATTAGATGAGTTCCATGCGTTTGCCTGACGTTGACACTTCTCGACTGTCGGATTAGACGAGAGAGAGACTCGCATTTCTTTCAAAAAATCCCAACAATACCTCCTCAAATAATTATATGAAAATACTCGCATGACTTACTTCTCACAATTCAGTTTCTTCGAACACCCTGAAATGTACACTATTTATGAGGAAAAATTGGCTTAAAATGTGGGTTAAGTCAAGTGGACGCAAATAAGAAGAGGAATTGTGTTTGACTTTCAATGACTTTCTGACTCGAAAATTGCAGATTTCACCATGCTTTTTGGCTTTTGTTGGCTTTTGTGTCAAAGAGAGGATATCCTTGATTTGCTCTTGCCTTTATTTCTTGCTCCTCACCTCAGAAATGCAATTAAATTATTAATAAAATGAGGGATAAAAAAACTACAAACGCGACTCAATAAAAATTCCTCGTGAATACTACAAAGAATTTGATTTTTTTCTCTTGCTGCTGTCACACACAAATGCTTTTGCTTAATTCACGCAACAATTACAAAAATAACATAATGTGACGCTCACAGTGAGTGATAGTGACATTTTGAGAATGTGATCGTGCATGAAGGCAGTTCAGCAAGCAAGAACACTGTTTGAATTATCAAATGTGCCACTACAACTCATCATGAGCGGTGGTGCGAACGGTGCGAGAGGATAAAAAGAATAATAAAATGTATGAGGTGTTATTAATAAAATCTAAATTGTGACTTATCGTTGTTGGGAATCTCACGCGCATCAAAAACTCACAAATGCACTCATATTATTTAAAACGACAATATTCTTAGAAGTGCTCATTGAAATTCATAAGCTGTGTATTATACGAAATGAAAATCAATCGCAGGAAAGGTGACTAGCCCCCCTCAGGCACAGCAGGGGCTCTTCAAATAAAAATCACACTGCTATCACACGGCGAGGCGATGGAAGGCAGGATTTAGGGATTTCCATTGTGGAAAAAGAGTCATGAAAATATTGTGAGAATTTTAATTGATCGCCACCATCTGACACTTTACGGCTCTATTCACGCGGATGACGAAGAAGATATTGCTCACGTGACGAAACCCAGTTCGGCCCTTGAGAGTTGAAAATGTGAGGAGTTAATTTGATGAAATGGAAGTTTTATTAAAATATTTATTATTTTCCTCGACGCACCAGGGAAAGAGACACTTTTTTTTTGTTTATCCGGTCGTGCAGCAGTCTCGGCCCCGATATGTGTTTAATAATGTTGTAATGAAGAGCCGGAGATGCTGTCTGGAGGCCAAGAAGTGAGAGACGCGCGCAGAGTCTAAAGGATGAGAGTTATTTTAATGTATTAATTAGAAACGCCAAAAGCTCGGTGAGACTCAAAAGTATTCAGCGTTGTAATTGCTCACCATATATCATCGCGTCCCAAAGCGAAGCCACTCAATTCACTCGGCCGCCCAATTATTTAATCATTTTATCTAAAGTATTTCAGCGCAAACTGGCGCACGGCCGAGGAGAGTGGGCCCGATGGATGGTAGTCGACAGTGTTGTCGTCGTCATGAGGAAGAGTAATCGCCGCGCCGAGTACAATGTATATAACGCGCTAAAGTGTTCACCGGGCAACTGGAGCCAGTGGAACAATTAATAAACATGTTTCGGGTGAGTGTGAGAAGCAATGTGGAGAATGGCAAGATCTCTTTTCCTGAAGTATAATTCAGCCATCATCGACAAATAAACTAATCAGACATCAAATTAAAATATTTTGATGAATGCCTAGTGTGATGTTTGTGGTTCGCATGACCACAGAATCATTACACCCTGTGGCTATCTCGTTGATTTGCTTCCATGTGGATTCTGCACTTTTCACCAGAGGTCTCTCAGAGGAACAACAGAGTGTCATTAAGTGTCCTGACAAGGCGATCAGTTCAAGTCAAACGCCACAATCCAAACTTACTTTTAATTAGTGTGTTTTTAAATAAATATTCCTGCTTCACTACATTTTACACCCAGACAATAAACATTTCTACAGACTCTAAGACTCCTTGTCAGCCATCTGCTCAATGATCTGCCCCTTATAATTTTGCATATGTGAGTGCACGTTTCCATACTCCATTTATGAATTTCGTCGACGGATCGCGAGAGGCTGGAAATCTTTAATGCCACTTTCCAACTTGCTCCCGCTGCGAGAGATGTTAATAATAAAGTGCATAATGGGCTTCTTTTTGCCCCTTGCGCAAAATTTCACCTAATTGAACTCCTTGGATCCTCCGCCTTTTCTCTCTCTCACTCCACCTTTCAAGTGCAACATCCAGGTTAGCACTTGCGGCCCCTCCGTATTGGGCACTCTTTGATCACGTAGGCAAATAAACAAATGACTCGACCGCCGTTTAACTGCGCTCGTCTCCGGAATCGTTAATGGTGCGCTCACACTCTTCGCCATTCACACAAAGTCCAGTGAGTGTATGTTCCCTAACCCATTTCACAGAGATTATGTGCATATTAATTTATAATTGGTGTTATGCTTGACGGCCCAACACCCATTTTTTACAATGTCTTGAGCATTCTCCGCATGCACGACGAAGAAAGTGTCCGGGCGCGGGGGCGGCGGGAGGCCCCATCGACGTGCATCGAAGGCAAGAAGCCTCCGAAACGTGTGGAGGAGTCGAAGAATTTGTTCAGAACACTGGCCACCACGTGATGACAAACACCGGGGAAATTTGCCGTGTTTAAAATGCACTGAAACAGGCGTGTGGAGTGCCATAATAGCGTTTAAGTATAAGCGTCATGAGTGATAATTTATTGATTGCTGACGCATTGTTATTAGATATGCGAGTGTTAGTGAGTGCTTATGTTGAATTTGATTTAGGACCACAATAATTTACCATGTGAGGTACCTCTGAGAGTATCCATATAATTTCATGTTGTGGATGTGCCTCAACATCCAGCCAGACACACACGCATTTATAATGTTCTCTTCACCTTGTTTTTCGTAAATGATCTCAGTCATTTATTTCATTTTATCCACATACCACGCTCCTCCGTGTGTATTTATGCCCTATCAATAATACTGCAACTTCCTTCTCACTTTTTTCTCCACTCAATTCCAGGCGAATGCAAGCACGCAGCACTCAGGCATTTGGAGTCTCCATTTATTCCTATATCGGAAAAATTGACAAAATATCAAATCAATTATTCAAATCTCCGCTGACTCTGGCTTCTGACTCGCCCACAGTGCTCAGCCATCGATGGGCAATTACAGAGCGGATAGGCAAGTTTTTGAGTGAAGAAGAACGAGTCATCAGGTTTAACATTTGATATCTTTACTATTAGCTGCAACACCTGTTGAATTCCTAATGCAATGCCATATTATTCCGCGGTCAAAAGACGGACCTATTAGTATTCTTCAGGTATCTCAAAGGAAGTATCTATGAAAATATGTATAGTTGCATTTTAGATTCACATCTTTTTTTTTCTCCTTCTTTTACCAAGATTTATCGCCCACTTTTCTTAGGAATAACACACTCATTCACACCTACAAATAATTCCACAGAAACGGAGAAATTACCATGGAAAATTTCACATTAAATCGAAACTATGGACTTGAGAGTGGAGAATGTGAGTTGGTGTTTGAAAGTGTGCGATGAAAATTGAGGATGAAGATGATTAATTTGCTTTTAATACCCCCCGATAGCCACCTGTACAGGGAAGGTAGAGGCGAAAAAAACTGACCATTTAATTTACCTTCCAACAATATATTTTATGTTTTATTGGTCAAATGGGAAAGGTGCCCAATAGACATAAATTCCCTCATTCTTTCTCTATTAATATCACTTTTTGACTCTTTTTAGTGGGAATCGTTGCATCCCAAGATTTTTTCCCATTTTTTTTGTTGTCCAGGAATTCTATGGAAACCTTTGTCCTTTTTTACGATTACTATTATCATTGTCCGAATGGCCATTATGTTGCATTGTGCTTTTTTGTGTCTCTTTGTGTTGCCTGGTTGGCTGCTTAGTGAGCATTTGAGTGTCTTTTGTTGTGAGTTATTTAACAACAATCCATTGGATGTCATTTTATTGTAATAAAGTTATTATTTAGACGCGTTATGATTTTAAGTGTTGTGCGTAGGAAGGCATAAAGTGCCTCCAGGTAGATGATGATGTTGATGGAGGTGACTAAAGATGGACGGACTTTATTATAAATGATTTTATTCAAGTCACACAGGTTGGACATTTCTGCCAGGAAATTCGTGGAAGGTGGCTAATTAACTTTTCTCCAACTATTTATTGAAATATCATAAAGGCTGATGGAAGAGATGTTTTAGTGGAGGATGAATAGAGTTGAGAGACGAATGAAGACTGTATAGGTCTATGGGAAACCGGTTTACCCGACAATGAACCCTGGGCACTTGGAAGAAAAGTATAATACAAGATTAATAGATTTAATTATCTCCAATTATCAACATAATAAATAACGGTATGATACATATAGAAATACTAAATAATATTTATATGCACAAATTTATGCGTTTAATTTAATTATAATGCCGTTGTTTGTATTCTGACACCGATTCTCCTTGTATTGAGAATTACTGTCGCGATCTGTGGTTTTAGATTACGCGAGAAATTATTTTATTACATTGTCGCCCGGATGACTCACACTCAATACCATTAATTACACGTGCGAATAGCAACGCTCTCAACGTTCCCAATATGCTTAAATGAGGCGATATAAGCAAGCAAACGGAAAGAAATTATTTAATGGGTTTGTTTAATATGCAACAGACGATGAGATCATTATATTACTTAGCATATGGCATTATTGTTGAGTACTTGAAATATTGCAGGATCGTTTATGGCACTTCCTAGCCAATAAACTACACTGGATTATAAGTTCAGTAGTTTATGTGGAATGGTAATCCTTTTCCAGAAGGTGGTAAGAAGCCGAAGTTGATGCCTAAGAACCTCTTCTCAGACTTACACCTCTCCAAATATTCCAGTTGGCATGCAAATAAACCCCCAAAATCGTATTCACTCTTGTAACAAAATACACGTCTAATATAATCACAATCCTGTCGTGTTAAGGAAATTGTGCCGTGGTATTAATGGTCGCGGGAGATTGTTTCAAATGCCCATCGCGCGAGAACATATTAATACCGAATGGTGTATGTTTGATTTGGATGACCAAAGATGACGATGAATGCTGGGAGCGCCCGACAACGCAACAATCTTCGCAGGGGACTGAGTGTCCTGCTGCGACCGAATGTACCATAAGACGTCTCTATTAAAATAATATCATAGCAGATATGTGGACGTACAGCACTTTCTGGCGATGGAGGCTAAGTGGACGAGATGAATGTTGGCAATAACTCGGATCATAAGTGAGAAGAAGAAGGGAAAATTGGAGAGAAAACATGCAGCGATCGAAAATGATTCGTCTTGTGAGCCACAGTCTCTCAGATAAATACACACAATCACACCCAATTTATTATGTGTGAAGTGATTAAGCAATAATTTTTGATACAATTGTGCAGATACCATAAATTTGAGTAACAATTACGACTATTTTCTCTCGCTCTCGCCTCTTCCTTTCCGCCTCGTGTTTATTTAACACTGGACACTATCTAATTTCCAGGTAATAAGCTATTCTTTTTCTCACAATGCTCACAAAAAGCGCTGCTCGCCATTGAAAAGCTTTGAACATCTTCGGTGTGTCTATACATCAGCGAACATAATGCGCACATATAGATTGGTCGTGTGAGATGTTAGCAAATGGCTCAGTGCTCCGATGGATGATAAAGTGACAGAGTTCATAAATCGTGTTTATATGGTCGAACATTATGAGGTATGTACAAACAAGCCACTAACTCTGCTGAAATAATCGCCTCCTTCCAGCATCGCTGCTCCTCTCAATTTATTCAGAGAAACACATTAAAATAATCTACGACCATTTAATGTAATCATAACTGATCAGTCATTAGGCAGACGTCTGTATAAGTTAATACTGGTTCTTTTCAAATTCACACACCATGGACTGAAATTGTGTGAAAAATTGTATGAGTTGCGCGCGGAGAGTGTAAAAAAGATTGATTTTTTTGGCCTTTTCACACGGTGATCAGTGGATTTTTCATCATGGCATGAAAAGAGAGGAATCTCTCTCTCTCCTATGGGATGATTTTTGGATTATGATATTGGCTAAAGGTGCCTGAAATCTAATTAGAAATGTATGCCTTCACACTGATGAGTGGCCACAAAAAGCAACAACATATTCTGTCTGTTTGATTATAATAATTTGTTAAATCTAATGACTTTTCTTCTTCATCTTTGAGCCTCCACTGAAATCAAACATTTACACGCTACGGTCAGATGATGAGACGGCGTCATTATTTCAGGTTCAGCTGTTCTAGATGTTGAAGACCCAGGAGAAAATTTCAATTAAGATCTGTGTCTCTTGTCTCACCTTCTCATCCCAAATATCTCTGGGTTGAGTTGAAGAGGTGAGAAACACACAACATCTCTGCTAAATCGTGATAATCATGGCGGTTGTGGTTTAGCATTTTGGGATTGATTAGTCAGAACATAAGGTTCCTTAATTGGAATTGTGAGAAGGCATTTGAAAGTTATGTACGCGGAAGAATATCGGTTTTTTTACTGCTCTATCGCGATAAGGATTTAAGTATGATTTTATCTTCATCATAATTTCCAATGAGTGCATTTGGAATATAAGTAGAAGCCTAGTTAAAGGCTTGATTCGGGAATATATCAATTAAGTGTGTTCTCTTCCTGTGCCTCCTGAACATTGGTAGCATTGTGCCTTGGCACTTCTCCCTTCTCTGGCTAATCTCGATGCAGAAGTGTGCGTTGCAAATGAATGAGCCGCTCCTATATGGAGGATACTTGCGAGCAGCAAAGAGGAATTTGCATTCAGCAAACATGGTTCTGAGGGCGAGATCAAAATTGAATTTGGCTGGTGGTGCTTTTGGCGCAGAAAGTGACCAAAAAGGAGCAAAACTGATTATGATAATTTTATTGGGTTCTCTCTTTTTTTCGCCATGGCGAGAGAGGAAACCAAGAGATTCCAATTAAAATGATTTACGACTCTTTTTTCTTTTCATACAAATCCTCAATGGCAAGAGAACAAATTGTCGGACATCATTCTTCCTTTTTCCCTCATTCTCTCTCTCTTCATCCTGCATATTAATTAGCGACCTTACAAGGATAACTGATAAAAACGTATTTCAACAATAAATAACTGCCTTATTAACTTAACATGACATCTTTGGTGAATAGAGCCTCTCCTTCTTGGCCAAATCCTCGGGAATCGTGTTAAGTTGAGCTCATGCTCATCTAAACCCCTTGACATCATAAATCACCCCAAACTCTGTGGTTGTTTCGTTGTCTAATCACTAATGGTGGAAGAAAAAGATGCGCAGAGACGAGAAAAAAATCTTTCTGAGAATATGAAAATTTTTATCTCTCCTTAAATGCTGAGAAGGGGGAAAAAAGAGAATTGTCTCCTTTGCCGCCTCGAAATCTTCAAGACTCAATCGCCCAGGGACACCCAGGGATGGCTCAGACCCCGGGACTCTGTCACTTGCCTTCTGCAGATAAGCCCGACTTCGGCGTTGGCCTTTTCGCGGCAGTCTTGGACTCCGAATGGGATTATGAGAAATAATCGCATCATGTAATCGAATTATCTTCTTCCTAATTGCATTTAAAATAACTTTTCGGATCTCCCATGTTGAGTCTCAGGCAATTTCTGGAGATTTGTAAGTTGACGCTTCGCAAGGTATATTCAAAAGTCGCCGAACACGTTGCAAAAATACAAAACAAAAAACATATTTCTCTCCCAATTTGTGGGAATTGGTCATCGCTAAGAAGAAATATCTCAATTTAAGTAATTTAATAGCTGCTTCACCACGTTTTCTCCACAACTTATTTCTCAATTTCCTGGGCAAAACACATGAACGCGGAATGTTAAGAAACTCGTGTAATTTTTCAAAATTTTTCTCCCATCTCTGAAAATATTAAATAGACGGTGTTTGATGAAATGGTAATTTTCAGCTTAGAATAATTTGCTCGGCTATTACACGCTAAGACGAACTGAAAACCATCTTCTTCAGCTCGGCATTATTGCTCTCTTGCCAGAGAACTCTTCGTGGCGTCGCTCCTCAATTGAACAACGTGAAAAATTTGTGAGAGATAATCCACAACAAATTGCTATTAGTTAATGATACATCATTGTTTCTTAATATAATCTCAACTTATGATTCCTCAATTCTCCAACCACGAAGATGTGTGTCTCTCGATTGCAAGTGGATTGTGAATGACCGAAGGCCTGCTATTTTCATGTTAATTCTGATTACCACTATTAAATGTCTATTATAAGATTTTTTTTCCTGCCACACCATCGTACTCTTCATCAGGTGATGTGGGTATTTAATATGTGGCATTTTACATGTGTACATACTTATAAATTACATCGCGTGATGCGTTCCGTGATTCGAAAATTGAGACACATATGAGAGGAATTATGTAGTCAAAGATGGAGAGAGTTAAGACAAATTAAGGCAAATTAAATTTTAAATTTCTGGTATTTTATTGTAATAACATTATAAAGTTGTTGCGACGGTCGCGTTCGCCGAAAATTCAGCTTGCTCTGCGCAGCTTTTATGTCTCCTCGAGATATACATTACTTGTCTATATATATATATTCTCGGTATGGTCGTTAATTCGAGTCTCAGTGATTCACAGAACGAGATCAAGAGAGCCTCACCTTTCGCACAGTTTTCACGCAAGAAAAATAGAGAAATTAATTAATTCCAAACGAGCCATCAATCATGTGTAATTTTTTTGATGAGTATAAATGATTCCTAATTGAGGGTATTTAGCTTCGTAATTTCATAGTGAGCAGCAGGCTCTTAAAAATTCCAAGTTGAACTTGAGGGAGAAAAGGGCCCATTTAGTTTGTCTACACCCTGTAATTAAAATCCAATTTTCGATTCCACGATTCCTCCACTTTTTGTTGACTTACACTGTCTGCCGAAAAAGTGTTCGTCGAACTTGGGTTTTTGTTTTTATGGGACTTGGGTTTCCAATATATATTAAAATGTAGAGACGAGAAAAAGGGTTGTTCATACTAATGCTACTGAGGAGATTTAATTGGTTCGTAGATCATTTCAATGTCAATCATTAGTAAAAATTTAGAAGAAAATGCCAATATTTTATTTCTTTTCAAAAGATTGATTTTATTTGAGCCTTTTTATTTGCTAAACATTTTACAATCAATATTTTCTTTACTGTTTTTCGACAGAAACCACCATTTTTGGTGGTATTTTATTCCAATTTCAAAATCATTCCTTATCGAAATCCCATATATTCACTTCAATCCATACAATGTTCTCTATTCTCTATATAATCTCTACTATTTACACATCCATCATTTTTATTTGACACATACATAGATTCTTTAAATCAAGTAACTTACTTAATTACTTGTATTCTGCTGCAATAGTAATTTTATAAGTCTCCTTGCTAATTTGTTTGACGCTCACGGGAAAAGGGCAAATTGTTTGCTAATTAAGTTAACTTGCCTCACTCTCAACCACACGTTTTTTTTTGTTCTTCTACCCGTTTTCCATGCACAATTCGCAAGTGAAGAGAAAACGCATTGATGCCATTTTGCATGCGTTTTCGGGTGCGTCAGATAAAATTTGGCACATTTTAAATTAAAGTACATTTTTTCACCGCGGATGACAAATTCTCCTCCCAAATGCAATGTACAATTTCAGGAGCCACTATATTTCTACGGATTTGTAATTAAATTAGGACACTATTACTTAAGAATTTGATGGTTATTTACATCGGAAAGTATTTTGTTTATAGCAATATGGTATAAACAAGTCATATCACAAATTTTAAGCTGATATTCTCTTAATTGTTTGTATTCTTCTCCATCGTCCACACGCCATCATCCATCAATCACTTTGCACGGGTGATTGCGGTAAGACTGGCTAAATAGCTTGCTGTATTACGATGTCACTTACTAATTGAGGAACTCATTTAAATGATACTTGATAGCAAATGAATATCTTTTCGTTTGTACACCAGTCACATGCACAGAGAATTTCGTGTTCTCACACCTTTTTTCCGTTGGAGTTGATAAGGGGAAAAGCGATGTGATTTAGTCAATTACGATCAGATCGTCACTCTCACTGCCATCACTGGGATTATAGTGGTTTTGGTAGAAGAAATTGTCTCACATGTTGGGATCTCCCTCGTCGTCACTTGGGCAATCGTCCATCTCCATATCGATGAGCTCGTCCTCATCATAACTAATTTGACTACCGTTGTTGTTGTCGGGACTAGAGGGATTCTTCTGGCTCTGACTGTTGGTATTGCCACTCTTTGCGTCCTCCTCTTGCTGCATTCTTTTGTGCTTCGTCCGTCGATTCTGGAACCACACTTTTACCTGGAACGAGAGGCATCCGCACAAGAGAAACATATTTAGCAAATGTCCCATAACACACAAAAAGAGCGTGCAAATCATGGAGGAGCATGGCGATTTGCATAAAACAAATTGCTGAGAAAGCCAGACGACGCGCGAGAGCCATTAAAGGAGGAATTTGTAAACATAATTTTTTTCCGTGTACTTGGTCCAGGGGAGAGAAAAAAAAGTAAACCTATTCAGCGATTTGCATGTGTTGGTCGAAGGAAAAAAGGAGCATAAATCGGAAATGGTTGTAGTCATTTATCACTGGCTCAACGGATTGGAAGGGAAATATTCCAGGAGAAATATAAATGTGATTCGCGCGCACGTTAAATTGAACACACAGTCAGTGGTGTGTACGTAAACACTGTGATGGGATGCAGTAAATCTCAAAAGATTGCTCTCTATTTCAGAAAGCATCTCCCCATTGCCTCCAACTTGCTCGATTGGATATTGTCGCTATTGCCTTATAGACCCAGCGTTAGTTTAAGTTAAGAGAGTGTGAGAAAGTTCACCTTATTATTTTCTTAATCCGATAAGGTTAAACTAAAAATTAACATATCTGCACTGTGCAAAACCTAATATCCTAGAAAGTCAGACAATCTTCTATTCAAAATTAAGATTTAGAGACAGTTTATGTGAATTTTTGCTGTGATGTCTCAAAAAGTTAGTCCTACAATGTAAAAACACATTAAATGCTTTTGGCTAAAACACTCTGTCTGTGTGATAAATTCAATTCAAATATTATTTCGTGTGAAACAATTTGACGTGCCATATTCGAGACTCGTTTGTGTCAATAAGAATATTTTGGGGGCTGTGAGTAGTGCTAATATGATGATGATTTTGGACGATGAAGTGCTAGTGGAAGTGAGTGGCAGTTGGGGAAACTCAGAGTGGGGCGGAATGTGCGCGCAAGAGCGGCAACGCGTGGGGATTGAACTCATGGAAAATCTTGGACACGCCTGACGGAATGGTACGCAGGCGCTTTCCGTTGCCCAAACAAGCATTCCCATCAATTTATTTGAATTTTCCACACCATTTAGCAGCGTATAACGTCACTTCGCATAAAAATCCGCTTAATCTGGAAACTCTACCCTCGATACCCAGTCATCCCTCTCCAATCCCACTGAGTCATTCGCACACACACTCTCGTCTCTCTCTCACTCTCTGGGGAAGTGATTAGCAATATATCTGTATGGCGACAGTTAATGTTGTTTCAAGTCACAATAACATATTGCATGAATAAATTGATGAAGGGTGATTTCTATGGCTGTGCGCTTCAACATGATTCTAGCTTGATTGTGTTCAATGTAAATTGAACACCCCACAAATAATAATAAAAGACCATTTTCACGAATAGAAAGACAAATTCCACGGATGGCGGGGCCTCTGAATAAGGGGGAACGAATTGAGATTGAGCATACTTAACCCTAGCATGTAACCAACATGGTGAAACATCATCAGTCACCCTCCTCAAAATGGGGTTGAAAATCAGCTCTGCCAGGGGTTTCTCAACGCCAGAACAGTTGGAAAGTGGCTGGCGAAGAAGTCTGCTTTCGGAAGGCTTTCTGCCGAAATAAGTAACCCTTTTTGAGAGGATTTATGTTGGGAGTGGGGTGTGGACAACTAAGTGCCAACATTAGGGACACGCAGAGCCACCCGCTGGGAGATGAGCCCTCGGATTTGAGTGGCCAGAGGGAGAGCTTATCGAGGTATGAGACAGTTTCCGCTTCCTGGCCCTCAATTTCCACTCGGCCATCTTGATCTCACTGATATTCACTCAATAAAACTCGCAATTCGCAAGGCACAGAGCAGGGACTTCCCCGGCTCAAATTAAGTTGAGCGCTAGGGGTTGACGAGAGCGTTGCACGGCGTGGAAAAAAAAGTTGCATGTGAAGCATTTGGGGTTGGAACAATTGAGATAAATCTCGGAAGTGGAACTGCTGGAAGCTGTGCAATAAAATAAATGGAAGCTAATCAATCGCAGGGCGATAAATTCATACTGTATAAATGTGATGGGGATTGATTTAATTGGACGTGAATTTCTTGGGAAAGATTCCTTCCTCACCCATGTCACACAGCTCTCAATCACGCACAATGGCCACAGCCATAATGTATTCGGGAAAGATGTGGCGAGTGCTTTATGACTGCACATTGGCAAGGATTTGTGCGAGATGGAAAATTGCAAGGGACAATCCTTCGTCAGAATGTGAGCAATAAAGTGATACTGTAAGTCACATCAGCAGCAATTTGAACAGGTACAAGTCATGAGATTCCCATTGTTTATTCCACCTCCATATTCGCACTGGCGATGTGTGGATTATATTGTATTCAAAAAATGTCTTGTACATCGAGTTGCATCAATCTCATTTGCATTCTTCGTACCACTTGGCAAAGTATTATTACAACTTTGAGGGATTCTCGGATGGCTAGAATGGGTGCAAGAGTGGAATCAGGGTGTCAAATGAGGAACGGAAAATTTTCTCTGCACTTCTATGTCCCTCCAGAATCACGCTGTGATGTGAATTATGGTGCTAAAGGAAGATCTACGTGCTGAGCTCATCATTCAGAACTCTAGCATCTTGCAAAACGAAGCAGTCGTGTTAGAAAGATTTAATCATGTGCCACGGTTAAGGTTTTCCAAGCAGGTTACAAAGATGGTTTCTAATTAATAGGGCAAATGAAATTGAGAAAATCAGTATCTAATAGTGATAAAACTTCTCCAAATCTTCAAACTCTCAAAAGATTCTTAATAATATAAGATCCAATTACCAATCTTTGTACTGTAACTCCTCGGAATGGCAGTAGAAGTGGATCAGTTTCAAGGCGCTCCGCTAATGTGTGATTGTGTGGATATGCGATTCCAAAATCGTTTGCAGCGTAATTACCATTTGTGGACTCCCTATCAGGACCGTGTGTGATATGTTAATTTGGGGTTTGTGCACTACCGTTAAAGTTTACCGGGCCCTGGAGCCGCCTCAAAAGGCTCGTGAGAGAGATTTATTCTGGCATGGTGTGCAATTTGGCGCGCGGAAAATTCACCATTAGTTGGAGAAAATGGGGTCAATTTGCATTAGCTGCTGGAAGATACATTTGGTTAGAGCGACTGAAAATGCTCACAATTTGCATTTTCTGATTTGTATATTTGTCTGTCGTTAACTGTGACTATTTGCGAGAACTAAATTGAAGTCGCGCTTCGTGATTTGCAACTGATTTTAAGGTCACACGGAATTAAATGATTCCAATAAATTTCACAATAATTTTCCTCATTTCTCTCCATTCCATTCACCTTCCTTCGCCAGACACGAGAGATTGATTTGGCGCTGAGGTCTATGGATGCTCGAAAAGGTAATGGAGGAATTGGTGTTGAGTGGCACATCCCACGCCATGCACTAAATCAACCCACCCACAGAATGCGGGTGTCGAAATTAAATAGAATTAAAACTCAATTAATTTGTTCCAATTTGAGTTCCATATCACGTCAATTATCTTGCTATGTACAGAGAGATTTTCACCACCATCGACGGGATTCGGAGGGATGTGCGCAAATTCCGTTTCCATAGGCAACAGTGAGCCTCATCTACCCTTCAACTGCCGCCTAATCAAATTATCCCAACCCTCGCCAGATTACTCCCCGACCAATGCTCACATTTTCCTCAGGAGACTGCGAAACTTTCCAATGAAAATCCCACAAAATGCTCTACTTTATCCAAATTTGCATTGGAAAAGGTTACGCTTGGATCAAAGTTCAGAATCTATTTAATTTGTATCTATCATTGTTTGATGAATATTTCATTGAGGGGCGGCATGAAAGTGTGGGAAAATCAATCACAACACTTATCGCACTGAAAGTGCATAAATTTGTAATGGTCTTTTATTGTTCAAGCAATTTGCATGATATTTAGTTTCAAGTAAAAATGAAAAATTATTTAATCAAATTAGACACGTACAAACTGATTTGATTGACTTACAATCACGCTGTAAATATGGAATTGAATGCATTTATTAAGTTTGTACGTTCTGTTCAAAGTGATATTTAAAGAAAAGACTGAAATATCAAGATAACACCCTGGCAAAACACATTGTTATACTAATAGTGATGATTTGTGACCATCAAATTCAAAGCTAAACAAATTTTTTTCGATATGAAAAAAAAAACGATTAAACAGGGGTTAATGTTGATGTTTTCTCAAGTGAAGGCTTTCCAACCTCCACTCAAATTGAGGCAATTAAAGAGAGTAGAATTTGCCAATTTCAAAGATCTTTGCATAACCTTTATTTTATTTCTGATACCTATAATTTCACAGGTATGTATACATATGAAAACGATAGAATTTCAGTGAAATCGATACTCGAAAAGACCGCAAAATATTCGTGGCATCTTCTGAGAGTTGAAGATGCGAAGAGAATGAGAGAAATCGAGCGACCGTCGGGAATGAGCTAATCAAGAGTAAATGTATTGATTTTTGCACCTCTGAAGAGTGTGCACGCAACACTTGTCAAAATCGCAAATAGGCTTTCAGAGCACCTCCGACAGGACACAATCGATAGCACCCCAGAATGGAATAGTCGTCATGCGACTAGTGACTTGGAGGACGTCACCGGAAGGACTCGTGGGGGTCGCAAAAAATTCCTCACTCACCTGTGTCTCTGTTAAGCTAAGGGCTTGCGCCAAAGTCTTTCTTTCAGCTCCCACAACATAGTGATTGCTCTCGAAGGCGTGCTCTAATTTGAGCAGTTGCGAAGGTGAGAAGGCCGTTCTCACTCGTTTTGGCTTACGAAACGGCTGCAGGAGAAAATCTAGAAAAACGAAGAAATACAAATTAGAAATTCAATATTTGAGATCAGAGATCAAGAGCAATTTTATACAATTTAATATGTCGTTATCATATTGATTTGGCTTATTCTACGTATGGTTTTTGCTATGTGTGTATAGACATGCTTCAGGTGACTAATTTTCAGCCACCCTATAAACTCCACGTCCGCTTATCTCCCACAAATCTCTGCAATTTAGATACATGGTGAGATAATTGAGTCACCGCGATGATCAATTTGTTTTATTCTCCTCTTCTATTTGTATTTCATTCCTATATAAACATTAACTGTGTGGATGATCTGCGATAGAGTGATTTACCTAGAGGGCTTTCAAAAGGCGCTGTTGAGAGTAGGTGCTACTTTCACAATCCATTTGCATTTGTGAAGATTCGCACCACAGCTCGGGCCCCGCAATTAATTCATCTTAAGTTATTTATTTTGAAGAGGTAAAATCTGTCAATAGCAACACCAATTGGTCTTCTCCAGTTAATAATCACTTCTCATTTATCGTAGTTAAGGGAACTTTGTGGTCAGAGTAAATGAATGGGCGAGAAAAAAGAGAGGATTGTGAAAGAGAATCGTGTGTATGTGATGTGGAATTGGAATTAAGTGGCTTTTGGGTGAGCAAATGCGCCCCGACCAAATCAAATCCGAAAAGGAAAGGTAATAGCACATCGTCTATACTTGGCATCTGTTGCTGCAAATTTGTACTAATTTAAATTCAAATTGCCATACGATAATTTGTGGTGTGCTGAAGAAATCGATCACGACGCTTTAAAGTTTATTAGCACATCGCGCAAAAATCTCTGTGGTTTCCACGCTTAATCTTGCGCCTGGGTTATTTCCCTCGCAAAATGTGTAGGTACTTGAGGGAGAGATAAAAGGCCACCAGAAAAAAGAGGCACAAGGAGGTGGAAAAGGGTATAACGAGAGGTGGATATGAGAAGCGCTTGATTGCCTAAACGATCAAGATTTACTTTGGCAAATAATTTTCCAGTGCAATATTCAACGCGAAGATCACCTCGTTGTGGTGTAAATAAATAATAACCGATAATTTTGCTGAAAATGGGAAGTTCCCTCGGCTATCATCATCCTTCTTGTGCACTTTCTGCACATCTATCCATCATTCCCGCCAGTGCATCTGTGGATCAGTTTTTGGGCCGAGAGAGTGTGATATGGGGTAAATTATTGAATGGCTGTGCGCGGAGGAATTTGCACCTCCAATAAATCTACTGTGGAAACTATTCCACCACCATTAGGAGGTCTTTAATTATGCAAACTAGGAGATAAATAAAAATGTGTGTGCGAGTCTCCATTAAAGATGTATATATGCAATATGGTATTTAGCGTATATATGGTATTTTATCGACAATTATCTGCAATGATAATTTATTCAACTTAATAAACATCGAGCATTCATTATGGTAAATTATACCCGTTTACTCGGGACATGAAGCCATGAAAAGCAGCATACACTGCATTTTACCTCCATACATGCTCACGTCCATACAAGTGAAGCAGTATCAGAAATGAAAGCAATTGAGTGGCGAGCTTACAGGAAGCTCACGATTCACGCCATCACCTCGTTTGCTAAAACATTCAAATTTCAAGGGAGTCAAATACTGCGCACTATTCGCAAACAGTGGCGTGAGTGCATTGGTGTTCAGAATCTCACCAAATTAGCAATTGATTAGGACTTGTCCGGCGAAAAGTCCACAACTCAGTGTTGACATGTCACCGAGACAAGCCTGTACGCGCCCAATGATTGTGCCGTCCTCACATGTGCAACTGTGAGAGCTCACCTTTTTCGTGTATCTGCCAGTGTACAAATATGTAATGACCCCGTATTATAAATTTATTAAATGAACCAATGCATTTTGCTGATAACTGACACTCTTTCCTCGTCATTAAAAATACAATGAGTTAATAAACATATAATTTAAAAATACGAACTGCCTTTGCGGTCGCGTAGGGACACCAAGATGATTTTTCACGGCAGTGCAGAAATATTGTTGCAATAACTCAGGTGGTGGAGTTTAATACACAAAAGAGATGAAAAATGCATATAATTTCGCTCTTCACATCTCTCAACTGGGCATGAGAAGAAGCGGCGATAATTTACGCTTAAAATAATTGAATTACAGTTTTTGGCGTTCAAAGTGTAAATGTACTGTAATTAGTGGTGAAGATGCAAAAATTGTTTATTCCCCAGCCCGTGGTAAGAATTTCGATGCCTGTGGAGAATGTTCTTCCAATAAAGGTGAAAGGAATTATGAGTTATGGCTTCGCAATAATTGCACTGTGTAAGTCCAGCACATGATCTGCTCTTGTGCGATTTCAATTATTTTGACTGATAATTGTTGTTTTCTGTGGCACTGTGACTAGAAGAATAAAAAAAAACTAGCTCAAGAGTGGAAAGGAAAAAAATTCATCTGGCAGTTTGAGATAGATGAAAAATCAATAAAGTTTTCAAAAACTATCAAATGCAAATAACCAAAAATTAATACTATTTGTGATTTTAAAAATTCACAAACCTAAATGTATATGCCAAGACCTATAACTCACTTCTCAGAATTTCGCGAATATTTAAAGAGAATTGTAATAACTTAACTAGAAACATAGCCTCTTTAGAAATAATTTAGCATTTTCTGCACTCTAAGTAACCAAGTAAGTAACATTCTTTATGCAGCTCTTCTCTGAAAAGTAATTGAGACAGAGACAGCTGTGAACTCCGTTTAGGAATTCAAGCACGCTAACAGCACTTCAATCTTAACATGCTTTTGTAGTTTCTCAATAATCCAAATTATAATCTCACTCCATTTCAACATATCGTGGCAATTTACTAATAGTGCGCTAAAGAGTCTGGCTTTTTGGTGTTGTCTATTGATCTAAATCACAAAATTGATGCGCCACATAAGTGGCTAAATACACGCTAAATGACTCTCTCAAATAAATTACGAGTTGAACACGAATGTATCCTCACTACAGTTCCTGAACACTTATGTTATTTTACAAAATTGTTGTTAATTTGAGAATAATTAGGGGTAATATAACCTTTAGCTATAAACGAAAACCAATTATGGTCGATATTTATGTACATGGAGAATAAGCGAAAAAAGAATATTGAGAATTAAGTATGAACTCAAGAGCTCGTGACTTGACACAACTACGGCAGTGTGAGAAGGATAGATGGAGGGTAACATTGTGTGTACCGTGTGTATTTATAAGAAAAGTATCAATTAGTAAGGAACGCAAAAATTAAGTCAAATTTAATTGTTACGTTTACCTTTGCAATTCACCATGTGAAACTGAGTGAGGGAATTGGAAACGGATTGATGGGGATCTTGGATAGCTATTAGTCGATCTCAAGAGAGCAAATTGCCTTCTGACTGCATAATTGCCAGCAGGCGGTCTTTTATTCGCCGTTTGCAAAATGCGAATTGAATTTAACGCTCCGTGATAGTTAATGTCTAAAACATCTCTCTTCTCGCCGCTCCTTCTTCCCACTTCAGATGCTCGCTAGACAAAATGTGAGAAAGCATCAGTGCTCATTCTCTGGGTGTTAATTATTATGATTTCTCGAGGACAGGACAAAAAAAATCTCGTTGATCCATGACAATTTCACGCCCCTCAGGTAGACACAGATTCTGCTAAAGTGGAGAATAATGTGGCAGGGGAAAAAAGATGCCAACATCGGAGGGTGACGCAAAAATGGCATGAAATGGTCCACACAAAAGGCAGTCGATTTTTTTTATCGAGATCATATGTGACACTAGAGGCACAAAAAATGAGTGTATGAACTGGCTGATTGAGTGTGACAGATGGTTTTCAGGGAATGTTTCAAATGTTGCACGAAGCAGTGAGGAAGGCACCGAACAAGCTGTGAACTATAGCAACACTAATCACTTTAATAAAGCAACATCCCTGAGATATTTCCCAATTTTGTCCCCATTGGAATGTATGAAAAAAAAGTTAATATATGCGTAAGAATATTTTAGGCCTATAAAAAATGTGTTTTGTAAACGAATGTTGTTTGCTTGAATAACAATTAGTGACGTACTATTTCAAGTTATTTTAAGAAAAATAAAATTACCTAAATTTAAAAAATTTCAAAACCACTTTTAAATTTAGATATTGCTTCCCGTGAGAATTTAACTTTAAAGAAATATCCTTTAATTTAAGATCAATGTCATTATTTTTCTTCGTCTACTTTCATGGAGAATTTCCCTTTCCTTGAGTTTGCACCGTCTGTACATTCAAATATACATAAAATTTTTCCTTTTTCACACAGCATGTTGACTTATATATATTTCCTTACTCACATGCTTCATATAGTGTGTAAAGACCTTTTCTTGTAATTTAACCAAATGACTTATGTATGTTCTTTAAAATTCCAAGAAAAGTCACGCAATGCATCAATTACAAGTTAATATTCTAATAGGTATCATGTGGCGATCTTGAAGCTTACTTATTACATATATAACTTTGAGTAAATGGCTTAATTTATGATAAGTGAAGATTAAAATAGATTTGCCAGATCTGCAAGAATGTTTCGTCCGGGAAGTAGCCCAATTTGTATATGTAATTTTGGAGGATAGGGAGACCTGAACTTACTTCCAGGAAAGCGGTGGGGGAATATCCTTCCATGTCGGCTCAGCAGCCAGGGATAGAGTGGATAGCTGTCGCGTGGCATGTTAGGATTGGGCATGTGTGCTGGATGCTGCGGCATCCCGGCTCCCGGTGGAAACTGACCGGACTGCAGAGCGGCGGCCATTTGGAATTGAGCGGCCAGGAAGTGCGGGTTGTGCGCCGTTACCATTTCCGGTGAGTTCAAGTACGGAGGCAGGGTCTTGATGTCGGCCATGTTGCTGGGGGCCACAGGGAAGGGGCGCACGAGGCCCGCAGGAATGCCTGGCACGACGATGGGCCCTTTGTTGCCCGGCGGAGGCGGAGGCAGCGAACCCGGCGGCGAGGGTGATCTCGATGGCCGGCGTAGCGCATGTTGCTCGTGTTCTGCTGGCAGTCCGGGATGGGATGGCGATCGATTCTTATCGGGGCGCTCCTGGGACGCCATCCGGTGGGTATCGATGATGGTTTGGTGCGATGGCGATAATCGCATCGTGCGGTTCTTCTCGTTCGAGGGTGAACTGGCTATTCGGCGGTGCATGAGGTCAGACGGTGAGACACTGCTGGGACTCCTCAATTGCTGATGCGACAATTCCGTGGGATAGCTACAGTCGCTGAGTGGGCTCAGTGGCCTCTCGGAGCCCTCGCTGTTTGGTGAAAAATGAGCCGGTGTCTTCGTCACACCATTGCCCACAATCGAGTCTATGCTGAAGCCTATTTTTGGCTTGGACGTTGGCATTGCCATAACTGATGTCGGAGCCAGAGGCATCATCTTAGGTTTCACACCAACTCTCTTCACAAATCTTGCATTTCTCCCCGATTTTATTCACACTCAAGGAAGCAACAACGGAAGCGTGAATGTCTATTGCTTTCGAATTGCACCACAACTCTGTGTATTCAGAAATTTGAGAAACTTTTGTGTGGAATTTCTCGTGAAAAATTTTCAACTAAATCACTGGAATAGTGTTTAAAATGTTGTCAAAAAAGGGTTTTTTCTGCTCAAAAACAATCACCTCACACTATTTCACTATTTGTGCGGGGATGGATATTAATAAATTGACAATATTAGCAAGCAATTAGTGGGGTGATTATAGGTGTTGGGAGCGGCACTGAGTAATAAAACAGCACACACTACTTAACACAAGAGCACTGCTGAGTCGTTCCGTGACGCGCTTGAAACCGTTCCATGTAGGTGAAACGAACGTTGGCCGCATAATAAAAGCACTAAACCGGTGGAATGTAGCAGCAAGTTAGTGTGCCCAGCGAGGGAAACTGGTTTCCTCGAGGCGGGGTCTGGCTTTGTGCACTGACTGTGGATTCCCCCATGAATTTACCACAAGAGGCCACCTCTTGCACCATGGCAACACGCGCTGATTGGCTGAGGAGCTGTCATTCGGGGCTCCGCCCCTTCGGTGTGGGGCAACGCGCCCTCGGAGGACTGACTGTGTGGCTGATTGTGCCCACCAACATAAAACGTGATTATACGCCTCAGTCAATCAAGTCATTCCAATTGGCATTACTCTCCTATTCTCTCTTTCTCTTACTGGGGAAACACTCTTGGTTCTGTAATTGACTCTATTTTTTTCACTTGCTCCCGCGTATCTTCCTCTTGACACTCTGTCCATCTCCCTCACTCTCTCGCGCACGACCATCCATCCCATCGCAGCATGAAGAGTGCTGCAAATTGAGCTGAAGAGGCACCGATACATGGGCAAATATACTCAATTTTCCTCGGCGCCTCATGCGCCACTAATTCGTGAAAGCCGGGGGAGGGTTGGATTTTTCCTAACACACGCGAATAATGAGAGGAACAATTATACTTTAATTATAATTGTGTTGGATTGAGGAGTTCCGGTGATTCTCGTCCTGCAGAAGCCCCGGTTAATTTTCATGCGGTGAGTGGGACATGCTCCCCCGAATGACTGACCTGTGTGGCATTTACGCCACACATCACACCATCATGTGTCGTCATGAGCAATCTGGGCTTCTCTGTTGCAGGTAGTTGTTTTTGTTCCCGATGGTGAGAGATTGATTTAACGCGATAATTGAGTTTATTTGTAAAGTAAATGTGTGTTTTATAAGAACCGGTCGTCTAGATTTCTGATTAATCGAGACATTCAACAATTAATATGTGCTCTCAGTAACGAGACCATGTACTATTTGCGCTGTGTCTCAGCGTGCATAGGGATTAGAGTGCGAACCAAGAGGTGGAATTGCTCGCCAGAGATAGGATCTACTCCAAATATAATTGGTTATCTTTCATTAAGCTCACATTCGCATTTTCTCCTTTCCCACCTTTTTCCCTTGTCTTTTTTCTCAATAAAATCTATGAAATATGGACTCACATTAGTTATATACATTTTTAAATGAAAAACTTAGGTGTCTAAGTAGGTTATACATTTCTACGTGTTAGAAATACATAAAACTATTTTTACACAATTCACACAAATAATTGATATGGAATATTTACGTGGGAAATAGCTTAGAAATAAATATAAATACCATAAAGTAAATCACGTCTGATTGATGTTTTTACCTAAAATATTTCATTTTAATAAATTTCAGGACAATTGAAATGTTCTCGAAAATATATAGTTTTTAATATATGGTTAGAAATCAGAATCTCCAATAAACAGAAAATATTCTTGAAGAGAGGTTATGAAGGTGAAATTTCAATTGAAATTTGTTTAATTTTATAAAGGACTTGGATGTCTGGGAATTTTCTTTGGTTTTTTCTGCGACACTACAATTTTATTTCTCCTAGATCCTTGTTTGCAAATCGGGGTATATTTCATGAGAATGGAGACAATTTGTCCAGTAACATTTGCCCAAAATTACTTGAGCAATTCTGGGGGAAATTGCTCCTCTGGGACTGGATTTGGGTGTGGAAAATGGGGATGTCACATAATGTTTTATGGAGGAAAGTTTCAAAAATATTCATCTCATTCTTCACTTGTATACATTTTCTGCAACTGCGCACTTGTTCGGGTCATTTTGTAATAATGTCCCCGATCTAATATTTGGGTTTTATATCACCGTGTCATCTGGGACACACAAGAGCAATGTGAGGGAAGGCGGGTTAACGAGGAGAATCTCTCGATAGCACAATGTATTTTCCCTATAGAAATATGATACAAAATGGGAGATAATTGATGATGGTTCATTGTAATTTTGGTCTTGTGAATATCTTCCCTCACGGAATAATTTAATACTCGCCTTAATATTCAACTCCATCCCAGATGTGGTATAGAATTTTATATATATAGGGTTTATTATATCTGAGATATTGTACGAATTATAAGTCTCGGGATTGGGGTATCGTGACTTTAAATCTTCCCGATACGAAATTATTTACATAAGTTTGAAACACATTTAGCATTTCATGCTGTGAACCAAAGTGTTGCTGCCTTCTAACTAGTGAGACGAGAGGTGTATACATCTTGATATGTGTTAAATAAATACCTTATAAACGGAATAACTGATAAATAAATTACCTCACATCCACACCACAGAGCATTTTGAAATATACGTAGAATAACAGGGTGCTTTCACATTATCCTCCCATGGGTAATCCAATTAGAATGATATATATTGACTCACTCGCGCAAGAGTCTCGAAAGACTTCAATGTATAATATAAGAGGCAGTCTGAGTGCCGGTCCGTCACGAAAATCTGGCAGGCGTCTCGGGTTCGCCCTGTAGCTAACAAGCTCCTAAATGATTTGAGATTCATCTGTCATGAACGTCATTTTTTACCGAGTTATCTCAATTACGCGAACAATACCCTCTTCAGCTTATTTACATCACCAATGTAAATATCATGCTGGCTGCTTAAGCAGAAAATTTACCGGAATTTTCTCCTCCTCCTCGTGTGCACTTCTCCCACGGAGAATGTGTTAAGTCCATGTCCAGAAATTGTTCTCCTTTTTTCGCGCTTCTTCTCACAATGCAAGTGAGTGTGTTGATGGCTGGAAATCTTTCTTACGCCACACCGTGTTTATCGCAATCATAATTTTCGAAGGGAGATTTCACAAGTTCCTCAACACATTGCAATTAGACTTGAAAAGGTGACGAAAATGCTGAAATTTTCTCACATTTCGTGTCCTTTTGTGAAAAAATACAGCCACTGCTTTATTCATCGAATAGCAATTAATGTAATTATTTTCGGGATGGTTTTGAGATAGTAGAATTATTTTAGTCTACGAAAATGAATATATTGAAATTTTGAGATTGCATGAAATTTTGAAATCTCAGTCTGAAAGGGGAGAAGGAAGAATAACATATGAAAAAGTTATCTGCTGACTTGAAGACAGAGCGAGTACGAAAAGGGCGTTTAATAAAATGAAATATTATTGAAATGATTACTAAGGAGAGATAATGTAGTTCTTGTGTATAGTTGGTCTTATTAAAAAGAAGGTGGGATATGCATGGAGGTTGCAAAGTACAAATAATAATCAATAATTTAACTTTTGTCGACATTGAGGCAAAATACGCGACTGGAGTGCTTTGTAAAAGCCACACTATGCAATAATCTCGTTATAAGTTATTAGTCACTTTGTAATTAATTCAACATTTTTGCAATTAATGTAATGATTTAGGAGGCAATTAGACTATTTTGCGTGATACTGTTAATATGATAATTGATATAATGGAAATAAGGCAAATATGTAATGTATGGTCATACTTTGCTGCTCCGCCACTATAATTCTCGCGTTCCTTCTTGGCGTTATTCATCGATATCACGCGTCTCGGTGAGCATTTTCTAATCAGTCATTATGGGCAATTTTGCGATATTCGGAAACAAAGCAAAATTGCACTGGCGGCAATTTGCTCCCCATTCTTATTGATTTTGCTCTTGTGACAATTGGCGCCTCGGGGATGCCTCTGCATAATCATTCTTTTCGCTATTTTCGTCGTTTTCTGTCCTTTGCAGACTGTTAATTTGTGCAACACGACAAGGGGTCCAAATTGCACAAAATCACATCTTCAATCTTCTCGAAGTGATCAAAGAGAATAACGAGATTTGCAAACTCTATGCGCAGTTTTTCCTTTGAATTTGTCAGGGCTGGTTTAGGTGGAAATGCCTCAAGTGTTTCTTATGTTTTAGAGAGAGAGCATGATTTGCAAGAAACATGCCATTTCTTTGGTGAAGCACCACAATTTTTTGCATTAAGTAATCGCAAATACCAATCACATACATAGATGTGTAATATAAAAGGAAACAAGTAATTTTTCTACTTTTCAATATTGTCCTGCATGGCGAAAAAGCGAATCTGGTCAAATCCGTCCCAGAGGTTGTGAAGTTGGGGCACACCAATTTTCCCCCTGATGCTCACGCTTCTCGAGGCAAGGATACGAGCATGAAGCAACTTGCTGAGCGCTGAGAGAGGAGATGAGGAATTTCTCAAATCTTATATTTTAGGGCGCACTAAATACCCATTTGTCCGCACGTATTTCCATTCCATTAGTTATTATCTGTATAGCATCTTGCTAACTTGATGTAAATATAGCCGTTGATCGATAATGACCCCTAATTTGTTGCTGTGTTGTCTGCGGGGCTGTCAATCGTGGACCTTTTTCCACCTTCATTGTGCTCTCCGCGGGTCCAGGGAGCCTTTATCTCATGTAAGCCAAAGGGGAGATGATGCCTGGGACTTCTTTTTTTCCCTTTAGTATGCGCTCTTGTTCTCCGCGATCCCTTTTGCACGGCTCCGCGTGGCGATCGGGGCATGAGTGGAAAGCAGCAGTTGAAAGATTCTCCTTTTATTGTTATTTTCTTTTATGCACTTAATTTGAGTTAATCATTTTTTAATATATTTCCTTCACAATGTGGCCAGCTCCCATCCATGGAGATTCCATCTTAATGGGACCCTCATTTGGGAGTATTTTGGAGTTGCGGCTGTGGTTATGAAGATTTCAGTAACTAAACATTATCTCCTTGTTATGTCTGCACTCGAGCCTTTCGTTACACAGTCATTTTCCTCCGTGGGGCTATTTAGTGAGAAAATGAAGTGAAAAAGAGGTAAAATGGAGTGGATGGCAAAACAAAAACTTTTTACACCCTCCTTTTTGCTTCTTTTTGTGCATCCACTTAATATTTTATTTGTTCTCTCGTGCGTACTCACTCTTCTCTTACCATCATCTTTAATACCCAGTGACCAGACTTTGTGTGGAGTCAGGACAGAGTGAGTGGAAAAGGAGCGCGATGTGGATTTCTCCCATCGAATAGCGAAGACGTCTTGAGAAGAAATTTTTGTAATGCATCTAAATTACCTACTCTGCGAACCTCCCCAATCCAGTCACTTCTGCATGCGCAGTCCTTCAGAAAAACTTTTCGCGCAATAAACAATTTTCTGTTAGAATGAAAAGGAGAAGGAGTGAAGTGAATTTCCACAAACATCACGAGAGAACACAGTGAACATAATTATAGTCATTAATCTGCTGTTCAATTGGCTGCTAATTCTCAGTTTAGTTACGAATTCAACCCGCTGGCATGCAATTATTACAAATTACAGCATAAAATAAACAAAACATCGCGCAATAATTTGATTTCGTTTCTCTCCCTTTCTGCACACTCTAAGCATCTTCCACATCTACCACCACCTACTTCATGTCTCCTCACTCGCTCCCCATCCATTCTCACATCATTTTCTCAGCCTCCACTTTTGTGCCAATAATGTGGCCATAGCGCAAATAATATTGATGACTATCGCCGACATAGTTGCTGCACACACGCGGAGCCAGTCCAGATGCCGCAACATCCATCGCCAAGGATACATGAGCTTTTAGTGTAAAAATCACCCCGATGAATCAGGAATATATTGATGTTTAACCACACTTAGCGCGATATTATTTTGCTCAATCTAAAACTGTATTTTTAACACCAATAAATTCATATCTTATTTCAGGTTAGGGTTCGAATCCTCCAGTGATTTTCAGATTATTAGTATTCAGAAGACATCGTTCATATCGTTAGAGTAAATTTGAGGGCTATGAGATAATTTATTTAGCATTATCTCTTGATATTTCTACTTAATAACACTTTAATCTAAAACATTTTTAGGACATCTAAGACAGATCACAATGTGAGTGAATATAAAATTCTGCACAAAATAGAGGAAGAGTGTTGGGGAAAACGTTTCGATATGATCGGGAAATCAGTAATCTTCATTTTCTCAGTAATCGCCTTGAAATCGTGCTCTGCTCGCCTCTCAACTCATTTCTGCGCATTTCTACAGTACATATTGCCGTAGGAGCATTTCCGATCGTGGCTAAATTTGCATATCACCGTTGACTATGTGGCATGACTTTGAAAAGTGCCGCCAAAACTTATCGATGTCCCACTTATCACGTTCCACAAATGTGTGTTCCACAGTTCATCGATTGCAGGTGTGCCTGTCCCACCGCAAGAGGTCGCGTGCAGTCTTATTCAATCTCGCAGTCTTGCTCGGTGGTTCCTGACTTTTCTGTGCAAAAAAGCGTAAAATTCCATAACATTATTCATCAATTTTTCTACCGCATCATCAAATAGCAACTGGTAATGTATGGGCAGGTGGAGGTGTGACGAAAGGGTGGCATTTTCAGTGAGAAATTGGTGAAATTCGCATTGGGCTCTTTGTGATTGACAGAGAAAATGGCGATTGTTTTGTCACTCGAGGGGTGATCAGTGTGAAATTGCGTGTTCAAATTGGAAAATTGAGTTGGAATCGGAGGAATTGAGGCGAGTTTGGTTGCTTGGATGAAGAGTTGTGGAGACGTGACAGGGCTGATGTGGGGAAATGCAAGGGAGAGGTTCTAGTGAGCTTTTGTGTGGCCCACGAGGCTGTTGTCTGTCCCTATGAGAGCCCCTCTGTGTCAGTTATTTGCGTATTACAATTCCCAAACACCTACGAAACCAGTACGCTGTGTGTGGATTTCTTCACGATAAAAAAAACACGTCTCAAGGCAAAATCCAGCTGATTTTGCCCCCGCGATTACTCACTATTTGCGTGATTCTTCATACATCTTCGCTGTTGGAAGTGATAAGTTTTTGGCACGAGTTGGTAAGAAGATAAATTCCATTGTGCTCATTTAATTGAATTAATGATTCATGGTTTTGAGTGCAGCACTTCTCTGGGCCTCAATTGTCTTGCACTGTGCCGGAGATCCGGAGCTTGCATAGATATATTCCCCATTTATCAGTGTGTCTGATGGAATTGTGGGGCGAAATTGCAGTGAGTCGTCATTTTGTTACGTCACTCATGGTCAGATATTGAGGAAGAAAAACAAAGAATTTGTTCACTTCTCGAAATGGCGAGTCTCAAGATTGTGTGTGGCGGCAGAGGAGGGCGATCTGAGGAAGTGTGTTAGTCCAGTTCAGGGCGGAAGGAGATGTGCGGAGGGGCAGAGAAGAGGAAATGTGTTTCACTTCCCCGCTGGAATCGACCAGAAGAGGGCAAAGGACAAAGAAGTGAAGAGAGAACTTGGAAGAGAATCAGAGCCCACATAATGCAATTAACTGAGTGTCCATTGTTGGAAGTAGGGAACTGAGTGTGATTGTGAGCTGGGCGATAGCGTGATTCCGAACAGCTTTCGCTGATAAAGTGTGACACATCTGCTGACGTCTGAGTTTGTGCCAATGACTGACGCCCCTTTCCACTCTCTCGCTCTCTTTGCAGATTGTGATCATCTCGCGAGAATGGCCACCAGGAAGAAAGTGCTGCTGAAGGTGATCATCCTGGGCGACACGAGCGTGGGCAAGACGTCCCTCATGAATCAATATGTGAACAAGCGCTTCTCAAATCAGTACAAGGCCACAATCGGGGCGGATTTCCTCACGAAGGAGGTGGTCGTGGACGATCGCGTGGTGACAATGCAGATCTGGGACACAGCGGGTCAGGAGAGATTTCAATCACTGGGAGTGGCGTTCTACCGCGGCGCCGATTGCTGCGTGCTCGTGTTCGACGTGACTGCGCCCAACTCATTCAAGAACCTCGACTCCTGGCGGGACGAGTTCCTGATTCAGGCCAGTCCCAGGGATCCCGAGCACTTCCCTTTCGTCGTGCTGGCCAACAAAATCGACTTGGAGAACCGAGCTGTAAGTTGATCTTACCTTTCGTGCATTCGAGTGGAACCACAGCTCGCGAGTTGACATAACATGTTAGCAAACAATTATAGGATGAGGCACAACAAGGGAATTTGTTAGCTGCTCACTTTTCGATACTTTCTCGGGTAGCTTATGATTCATTCGTGATATTGCCTGAACGTGTGGTTGTTTTTGTGTGAAAGACGCAAAGTCGCAAAAAGCCATTAACAATCGTAAAGAGTATTGGTTGCATTTTATTAACATTTAGTCTTGAAAACAAGGGTAGAATATCATATTGTGTTAGGGTCAATTGCGTCTTTATATTCTGTAATTACTGCTGAGAGCTTTTAAAGGCAGTACAAATGAAGATTTTCAGCCATTTGTCTATGAAATATTGCATAATTTAGCAATGAAGGGAGAAATAATGAGAAACTAAAGACGCTTCATTGTTCTTATGTAAATATTCTTAATCAGGGAGTGTGATACTAAGTGTGCATATTTGCTCTTTACGCAAGAACCTGATTATCAATGTTCTCTCATTAAGAGCATCTGTACAGAATATTCTCCATTACTTTCAAAGCTTACGTTGCAAAAAACTACTATTTTGTTAAACCTATCAAGCTATTTTCCCATAAAGATAAGATTACAGTGAAAGAATGTCGTTTTGTTTTGCTCACTTTGCCAGTAACGTTGAAATTTTCCATTTGCAGGTATCGAGTAAGAGGGCTGATCAGTGGTGCAAGTCGAAGAATGACATCCCCTATTTTGAGACGTCGGCGAAGGAGGGAATCAATGTGGATTTGGCGTTCCAGACCATTGCCAAAAATGCCCTCGCCCAGGAGAGTGAGGTGAGTATCTCAAGCATCAGTCATTCCTTCACGAGATCCCGTCTAAACACTCCTCTCTCTCTGCACTTTCAGGTGGAACTGTACAATGAATTTCCAGACCCGATCAGCTTAACTAGTTCAAATAATCGTCCACGAAATTCGGACAACTGTCCATGCTAATAAAGTGAACAGACTTTCAAAAAAATGAATCAAATAACATAATGTTAAATTGCATACAAAAAGGTAACATACAATATGATGATCAGTGTTACGAAATGGAAAGTCTGCGAAATCAATCGGTTCACTTCTCTCTATATATTTCCCTTTTTTTGTGCAAAATCAAGCAGAAGTGAAGCTATATTATTTTGTTTTTCATCAGTTTTCGGTGAAAGATATCTCGTAAACAACAACAACAAGGAAATGTAATACTGATCCAGCGACATTTCACAGTGAAAACGGAAATACATTTTATAAAATTACAGTGAAAAGATATACCATTTTCAATGGAAGAAAACAGTAGTTAATCACTCAATTTCAATCAAAAATCCGTGAGTGGGATTGCACTTTCCCTTAAATGAAATAATTATTAAAGTAAATATGATAAATAGAACGATAAAGTGTACTGAGGATGGGGAAAATGTGACAAATGAGTGAAAAATCCGTAATTTTGGGCAATTTCTTGAGCGACAGATAAAATATTGCGCGATATTAAAAAAATATTTATATTTTATGTTATGCATACTGTACGAAAGCATGTTTCAATTGATAAAATAATGATCGACTGCCTGTTGGTCAATATCATACGATGATGAGTAGTGTGTGGATATGAGAAGAAAAACAATTGATCGACCTTTTTGCCGAAGAGAAATTATCACATTTACTATTTCTTGTTCTCATAATGGGTATCTTGTGTCCCGATAAAGCAAAAATCACCGTAATTGCGTCATTTTGTTCTCAAAAATTACAGCAAAGTAAAAGAAACAGTAATAAAAACAACAAAGCTCTGTAAATAAAATAGGTAAAATGTTAGATAATTTTTTTTCTTGATTTTATAATGCATAATTTTTATGTTAGGAATTCAGGCAAAACTATGAGTGGTAAATTATGTTGCTAAAGCCGCATGGAGTAAATTGGTTATAATATACACATTAATACATTCTACTTTATAAGAAATAAAATTAATTCCAATAAAAGACCGCTTGTTTTATTTTCTTACAATTGTTATTTATTTTCTCAAAGTGCGTGATTTTTCGGATGCAACTTAGCTTAGACAGGTCAGCAAATGTAATCAACTAAATCAACCACAGCGGAGACCCAATTTGCCTTTGTTTCCGACTTTATTTTCTCTTTAGGAGGATTTGTAGAAGAATTCAGATGATTGCCACATTTCAATGGACTTGGAGACGATAACATCAGACATTTCCTGGTCATTCTTCGCCTGAAAAACAAGTATAATTCATTGAAATTGTCCAAAATCAACAGATATTTCACTTACGTTCAGTTTCTCGATGCATTCAAGGAGAGAGTCGATATCTTTACACTTGTAGATGCTCCTCTCAAGCTTACTCAGCATTTTGTAGAGGACAAAGGCGAGAATTTGGAATGATCCGCCGATTATCTTGTCCCACACCTTGGCCAGGGCTGTTTCATTGAGAACTCCTGAGAAACAGGTGACATACCACCGATTCAGAGGCAGTTTCTGCAGCAAATTGTGGGTTTCCAGGTATCTAAAGAGCTCTTGGTTGTTCTTCTCGAAGAGAGAAGTAGTCAAGGTGATCAATTTTGGCAGGTCCTTCTCAATATCCTCTGTAATCTCGTAGAATTTCTTCGCCATCCAATAAATCTCCACTTCGTCGTCGAATAACTGAAGCAGAGTCTCGGAAATGCCAATAAAATTGTGTTCAGTCGTGGAGATGTTGAATCCCAAGTGGAGTCTCTTGGTCTCCAGCAGCCACATGGCGTATAAAATACGGGATTTCGGCATCTTGGCTTCATCCACAAGTCTCATCATCTTTAAGGCATGCAGGAGATCATTGTAAACAGCTTTCCTTTGGGTCATAACATACTGTAGACTGTTTGTGTACATCGGACGAATGTCTGCAAGACAAAAGGCTTATCATTTCACGATTACAAACAATTACTTTATGCTGAGTGATACTGACTCAACAGTGAACACCAGAGAAGACTCCTGTGTCTCACGGGAACAGCAAATCTAATGCAGAACTGCTTCAACTTTCCCTGATCCACCAACTTTTCCTTCAACAAATTCTCCAACTTATTCGTCTCGCCAACACCGCGACATCCCACTTTCTCATAGTAAACTGACCGAAAATTCCTCTCATCTGTTGCCATATTGGCAGATCTAAAGAAAAACGAGAGAAAAAGTAGCGGAAAACTGATGAAAAACTCCCTCAATTCTATTGTTTACATTCTCCGCACAGTGACATTTCGTGTACTAAAATTCGCCGCCATGTGCATTCGGTCTTCCGGACCACTTTTCATCAGGCAACTCTCCACAAGTTTTAGTTCACGTCGCAAAGTTTTCTTGTGCCATTATTATTTTATTTTAATGTTGTTTTAACACTTTATTTGGATATTTAAACACCCAATTCAGGTAATTTATCGCATATGCTTCACTGTAGTGTGTAAATATTTGCGATGAGTGACGAGAATGGGGTGAAAATGTGAGAATATTGTGGTGTCCTGCACCTGAGCCAAATGGTCGCACTTTTCTATCCTAAACACCTCATTTCGTAATAATTCTCCACTTGATTTCACTCTCTGCTCTCGTGGCGCATTTTCCATTCGCCAGATAAGCGGAAAATGAGTCTTTTCCAAGTGCCCGCGAGTGCAGCGATGTGTGTGAGGGTGGTGAGGCAGAATGGGGACTATTTTGGCATTTTGCAGCAATGAAAATGTCAAAAGTGGCCAGAAAATTTGCATAAATATCAACTTTACAATGGAATCCCACTTAATTATTCAATTAATGAGTGAGAAATTGTTTACATTGCGCACTACGTAATGCCTCAATTGCATAACACACCGATTTCCGCGAGCTGCGTGAAAAAAGTCTCAAGTTTAAGGTGAAATTCTTGACTTTGGACGGTGGAATCCTTGAGGCGGAGCGCGATGTACTCAGAGAAAATGCGGTGCCCCGAAATTAGGAGTTGATTCCTCGTGAATATTTCACAGCGACTCCTCAAGTTGAATCGGCCGGACAAATAGTTTTTTTTCTCACTATACTTGTCACAAAATTACACTTAATTAGGCGTGTGTTTGAGACAGAAAGTGGGGGAGAGAGAGAAAAAAGCCCACAAACTTTACTGGTTCATGGCCACATTTATGTACGTTTCGTTGAAGTATATAAAATCATTTTAGTTTTATTTCTCTGTGTCGTGTCGTGTTTTTCATTATACGCGCTCACATCGCGTATGGTTGAATAGAAAATAAATGAATTTGCCTGGGAGATTATGTACAAAAGTGGGGAGAAGAAGGCGAAAAAAAAGGCAAAGATATACTCATACAGCGGTGAAATTATTTACCCAAATGCTTCAACACACGAAAGAGAGTCTGCCAAAATTTGTGTCTGAATTTCTTTGCATATTATTTTGTTTATAGTAATAAAATATATGACGAGCAAAGGCGAGAGAAGGCACAAGAAGTGCCCCGAGAATACAGAAGCTGTGCCACATCCTCGGGTGGCTTTCAAAATATGCAAATTTCCCATCCGCACGACTGAACAGTGGAAATATCCTTGAGTCCCGGCAAAGAAAACTCATGCCAGAAGGTAGAGAGAGAGAGAGAGAGAGAGATGGCAATTTTTCACCCAGAACACTCGCAGAATACTCATTGTTTCGTCCGGCACAGCAAAGTCATGGGTTAGATTTCATCGCGCCCTAGCGCAATTAATCAATAAATATTTTTCGATATGAGTTGAGAAGCGAGAGTATTACATAAAGTTGAAGAATGATTTTATTTTTATACACATTTTGATTGACCTTTTGCGTTTAAACGGCAGAGTTTCGTGTCAAGTTGAAAACGCGAAAAATGGTTGAGCATTAGCATTGATAACAAGTTGACGGGGGAAAAAAAGACATGACAGAGCCAGGGAGAACATAAAGACAGTAAATTGTACAATTTGCAATCGATCGGAACAGTCCTAGGAATATGTATGTATGTATATTGTACATATTTCAGCTGAACTCAATGCTGATAAATAAGATGATCGTAAAATCCTACAAGTCTCGTCATATGCTTTCTGCTTTGATTTGCTCACGAAATATGACAAGCGTATGCTTTCCAGTATGTTCAGGGAATTCCGAGAAATGTTTTTCTACTTTCACCAAAATAAAGCTGAAAATTTAATTATCGAACACATTATAACAACAAAAAGAAAACCCTTCGGCAAGAGTCTGAAAAAGTAACAACGACGAAATATATGCACATAAATTTAGTGTTTATTAATTAGTTACTCAAATGTTTTCAGTCGCTTTTATGCCGCTGAAAGCTGTAATAAATGATTCATTGGTGGTGTACTTAATGTGTGTTTGAGAGTACTTCAAGTTCACTTCTATCGCAATTCAGTGTGTGTTTTATGTTTAATTCTAACGACAGATTGGAGAATATAGATTTTTATTGGGGAACTTTCATATTTGTAATATTGCAACTTGAGAAGAAAAGCAAACCATACTTTTAGAATGAATTCTTTTTGCAAGCTTCTATGGCACATAATATGGTGTGAAGTATGTCCACAAGGTGTTATGGGATGATGTTGACATAAATGTATACTGTTTACACTCGATCATTATTCAGGCCTAAATGAGGTGTGAAATGATAAAAATTCTTCGAAACAGATGTTTAGTATTTGCGATATCATGTTTAACGTATTATTTAGCGAATCGATAGAAAAATCAATCACCCACGGAGAGGATTGCGTCAATTGTGTCGGTTTTTTTTTGTCATCGCGACATAATTGTATATAATAATAATAAAATAAAATCTGTCGCAATGAATAGAGAGATGCTAATAATTGCGAGGAGTTGAATTTGATGAGAATAGTTCTGGAGGTGTGTATAGATTAATTCACATTTTGCGTAGTTCTACATTGAGAATTATGCGACAGATTTGCAGTGATCGCGTCTCTGGCTTGTGATCGTGCAGTGGTGAAGCTTTGGTGGTTGTATATGTGGTTGCGGCTATATTTACATTTAATGACATTACGCAATATTTCAATAATAAATTCATCTAGAGCTGCTTGTTTAAGGAAATTCAATTGAAGTAGATTACTGAGGGAGATAATTGGAGTTATGGGATTTGTGTATAGGCCAATATGGACGTTGCATTGCGAGGCTTGGACGTCTTGGGAGATTTATTGAATATACTTAAGTACAATTTAATGGGTAATCTTTCAAAGATTTCGCCCCTCATTGTGTGTTTGTGTGTGTGTGTGTGTGTGTTTGATTGAGCCAGTCTCAAGATTTTTTCCGCTGTGTCTTCTGCAAAAATTCTTATGTGCGCAAATTAATTCAGACAACTCACGTACATGTGTATTCTCATAATTCTAAAATATATTGCTGGTATATAAGAATTTTTTCTTTGATTCTCTGGCCCATACACAAGAAAATGTGTGTGAAGATTCGAGAATTTTTCTTCCACGACATTTCTATCTCACTCGCTTAGTCTCTCCTCTCTTTCTGCTATTCAATTGAGACTTTTTTGAGTCTTCTCTATAGAAACACTACTTTCAAGCAACAATTCTCGTCAGTTGCTTCTGAGCTTGGTATCGTGTTGGAGTGCTGTTGATGTTTTGTACGGAGAGCGCGAAGGGAGAGAGGAAAATTGCTCAAATATTAAGTGAAATAGAGAAGAGAGGAGAAAGAAAAGTGATATAATTTTTCGTTTGGGAGGTTTATCGATAGAAATAATACGTTTTTTTCTTCTCTGACCTTAGTTCTTTTTAAATTGCCTGATGGCTCTGAAAACATTATTTTTTAAAGTAGCAACACAATTACAGGGATTTTTTTGTACATGAAGTGTAGATGGTTGTCATGATAGAATTTTTGGTATTTAAAATAAATAGAATGCAGTGAGCAAATATGAAAATTCCGAGGCACTTTGATATTTCTCCATAAAAAACTCGATAGAAGTTTGTTCAGGAAAGTGACGCAAATTCCAAACCAACTCTCTTCGAAATATCCAACGAGGAATGTCTCCAATGAACAATTGGGTGGAAAATTTGGTGAGAATTGTAGGCATAAGGAAATTCCTTTTTTCTCAGACATAGAAATGGTAAATTTTACATACAGTAGGCGGCTGAAGAATGATGACAGGAGTGAATCTATGCATATGAAGTAATTTTGCATATCAATGTGTTGCAAGCTAGAGTATTTGCTTAGAATAGAATTGAATCAAGGGGTTTTTTTTTAGAATCTCATGTGAATAGTTTTGATTTAAAGATGTGCAGTGCAATTTGTTTCTTTTCTGATTGATTCTCACTGGGCTTTTTGGTAGTCGCGGTGGCGACAATTCTGCTACTGAGTGTATGTATCAGAAAGAGGATTGATAGAGTCAAAATAGCATTTGAATAGTGTGTTAAGTATGGGTTGTTTGGGTGTATGAGCCACTTGGCGTGTCAGTATATTCCCATTCTCACCATGACTGTCACTCTCTCTTTCGCGAGAATAGAAAGTAATATTGCCAGAATGTGGGAAAAATTAACAGGGTGGGCATATATATATTGGGGGATATTTGTAAGATTGCTTAGTGGAGTGGCAAAAGGCGAGATCTTGTCTCGAAAGCCGCGCTCAATTGCGTGCCATGGAACACCCGCTTTGGTCAGTGTGATATTCTTAAAGTTCTCTCGTGATTGGGAGTGATGTGTGGTGGTATGTAAATGAATTCACGTAGAAGAGAGAACGTCGCGGCTGAACTAGTGGTGGGGAAGGCACAAAAAGTGGCAAACACAGAACTTTTAGAGTGTTGTATGAATGATGATTATTTAAATATAAATGAAAAGAAAAGGAGGGGAGGGAATAAATAAAAAAAGAGGCTCACTCATATAAAACACACAGACTGGTTTACCTTGAACTTGGCCGTGAAAGAGAAACACCACACAACAGACACATTTACATTATTTAGTATTTGATCGCGCATTGATTCGCCGAGTGTGGTGTTACATCTCTTTCGCACTGGTGGTTTGCTTTTAAAATAACAGTTTTTATTAATTTCTTTTCTTCACTCAATCACTCTCGATCTCTGTCTCACACTGTTTTTATATGCAACGATATACGTGCTATATATTTTCGGATCTGTGTCTTATTATACATTAAACATTTTGTCAAAAATAGCCAAAGGAGGAGAGACGGCAAAAAATTGGTTTCCACAATGGTTTTAAATGGAGAGAAGCAAATTGCACACAAATTTTTTACACAACAAATCGCAAACAGAACAGAGCGAAGAATCGCGATTCTAGTTTTACGACTAATTATGGCTGTTAGCATAATCTGGTGTCTTGTTTGGCATCTCGGGGATTTTGGGAGGCAAAGAAAAAACAATTGTTATGTTTGCCTTTATGTAAAAGTTATAAAGTATTTAAATTGTGTCTATATTTTAAATTTTATGGAACTTCATATGCACATGACTCAACCATATACAAAACTCAGGTTTTATTAGCAATGACAAGATCATTATAGGAGGTGTGACAGATGAAAATGATCATAAACGCAGCCGGTTTAGCAGCATTGAATCATTCTGTGTTAAGAAAAAAAAATCTGGAATCACGAGACACAATAGACAAAATAGCGTCCGGCCATTGAAATTCTAATGGCAATTGTTTTATAGTCTGTAAAGAATGTTTGATTTCTTTAAATTGATGTTTCACTTTCAATGCGGAGGTGTTAAATGTGTCTGCAGGTTTAAAATAAGATGATTTTTTTGGCCTTTGGCAAACTAAGACGAATTAATGATGATAAATTGAGAACCTCGTGAGCTTATAATCTTCCATTGGGCAAACTTCTGTAAATCACTCTAAAATACACAGAAAATCGCTAACGTATCGAATGGCATCCGGATCTTTCGTGTTCCTATAGGAAACATGTATATAGAAAAGTATAAGTGATTGTTTTCTGTATACAATCTGAGCACTTTTCTGGATGCTTCTCGTTTGCACATTGTCGTGTAGAAATGCTGCAATTAGCTGACCCTTGCATTGACGTCTTCTAAAAATGTATTTACGACATAATAACAAAGATTGTTCGACGTGATTGCGTTTGAGGCGTAAGCGCACATCTTTTTTAAATTGTTTCGTAAGAATATAAAAGCGTCATTCATACGTGAATATTGCTAATAATGTAATATAAATATAAGTGAAAAAAATGTTTAATTAACTTTTCTTGATATCTCGATAAATGCTCAAATCGTCATATATGTATGTATGTTTGATGATTTTGCCTCACATGCAGAAGAGTGTCTGCAAAGAGCAAAGATCGTTTCGGAGGCTCGTCTCGATATAATTCCATATCGAAAGCGATAATTGATAAGATTGTGTAATCTATAGAGTTGTGATTGTGAGAAAAAAGTGCCGGCAAATGGAAGAAAAAAAATTCTCCCAAGTTTCGCTTGACTAATTTACTCATTATACGAACAATCGGGAAATAGATGAAGTTTTGGATTACAAAATTTGCCGGGGAAAAGCACATGAGAAGAAGGAATTTTTTTTTGAGAAACATTATGAGACAGCCTTGAAAGATTCAATGAATCTTTCTCACTTACATGTGTTTTGTCTCTTTATTTTACTTTTTTTGCTGTACCATTTTCAACTAAACATTATCCAAATGTCGCTGTTTGCCGAAAATAACTCTTGTGGGGGGCAAAAAAGAACGCGTTTTTCTTCATATAGTGGTATATAAGAAATGAGATTGTTTATTTTGTCTAATACACAGTGAAAAATCTCTCTTTGGCAAAGGTTCTTCTCTCACTGTTTCTGTCTCTCTTTTCTCATCTTGGCATGTGTGTACTTTGCAAATAAATCCCCCAAAACAAGTGGCTTATTAAGTAAATTACAATCCCAAATCATGTTCAATTATTTTAACACACCAAACACGATCCTGTGTCTGCGGTCGCTTGTTAAAGTCTTACTGCCATGACTGAGAAGAAGTTGCAAAAGGCTCTGCCGAAAGGCTCTTCGTTTTATTTTCTTCTTCTTTTTTTTGTTTAAAATGTAAAATACATCATATGGCAAGGCGACGAGAATGATAAAGAAGATGGAAGGATGGCAAAAATTCTGTCTGGGTCTTACATTTGGTGTATTATTTCTTGAGCTATTAAGACAAATTGACTGAAATTGCTCTTATTTTTCATTGTCAAAAAAAGACTCACATTCAAGGTCTCACTGCTGAGTTGTTCAATATGTCTTGTTGTAAAATTTTCATCAAGTCGTTTTTTTCATTGTCTATTGTCAGATTTTCATCTCATCGAGACCCACTTAATTGATGATTGAAAAGAGAAAAAAGGCGTCTATTCAAGCGAATAATTAATTATTGATAGTCATCAAACAATTTTTTGCAGGCGATAATTTCTCTGAAAATGCGTGTGTATTGTCTGTATGGATTAAAAAAAGGCATTGTTTTGGTGTTGGATGTTGAAAAGAAGATGTCATGAAGTAAAAACAATAAAAAGTATAGGTACTCATGATTTATGAGTTCTCGCAAATATAAAATTAATCGAAAAAAAGATATACACTGTTTTGCGAATGAATTACATAATAATCAATATATAATTGAGGTTTCATTTGCATATTTCTATGGTCCTTAGCGTATTACGTAATGCGCGATACTCATTTTTTTTTAGCTGGAAACGAGGCACGTAAAAAGAAGCACATAATTTATACAAAACTTAAACGAATCACTTTGTTACACCTCCTTTCTTCTGTTCTATTAAAATCACTTAGACTCACAGAGAGATCATAGTAAATTGCTGGTAATCTGATGTGTTGTACATAGTGGGAAAACACAGTATCGTGCGACCATTTAATTGATACTGACCACAATATGAAAAATCCATTACAATTTTATTTCTCTTTAATTGATTTCTTATATTTTTGCCCTCAAGGTTTCTATGATGGCGGAGGAAAATGGAGCTAGAATCAAACAAGAAGTCGATACAAATTCATGCTGCAGTCCATCTCCATCGTCGGCAACCAATGCCCACGGTGTCAACTTCAGAACATCTCCAAATTCAACAGTTAGTATCGAAGTTGGAGGAGTTTTGTGATAAAGCAACGACTCATTGCCATAATTTAGGTGGATGATCTATGAGTGGAGTGATTCTAGAATCAACATTTGAATCTTATGTGCACAGAACCAATTTACGTTGATAACAGTGCAAATAATCTTTGAGCTGTCTTTTTGCTATCCAGAATTATGGGGTGCTGTAGATCATGTGTTATTAAATTTGCTAGACAAATGGAGTCTGGAAATTGAATGGGAATGATTTTCCAAATAGGAAGAGATTTGCACTCAATGATTTTCTTCCGTGGTTCTTTTTTTTCTCAGAACTGTAATCAAGAGCAATGAGTTTTGTTTTAAACAGCTACATTGAGATACAATTCATTGATAACATGTATTTTCTATCCTCTCTAATCAGATTGAGTACAAAGTGACGGTGCTGGATCAGGGTAATTCGTCACCAGAATCACCTGATGGTCAGTTCTGTAGTTCCACAACATCAGCCTTGGGTGAAATTTCGAGTGATTCTATACAACAGAGTACAATAAAGGAGGAATTGCCGAGGTGAGTGTGGTGATTAATTAGGGATTCAATTGATGATGAAGTTACATGGGAAACAATGTTCTTTTTTGGCAGGAGGATCTGTCTTGTTTGTGGCGACACAGCGTCTGGTTTTCACTATGGCGTGGCGAGTTGTGAAGCGTGCAAGGCATTCTTCAAGCGAACCATCCAGGGCAACATCGAGTACACGTGTCCGGCGAATAATGTGTGCGAGATCAACAAGAGGCGTCGCAAAGCGTGTCAGGCGTGCCGCTTCCAGAAATGCCTGAGAATGGGCATGCTCAAGGAGGGCGTCCGGTTGGACAGAGTGCGCGGTGGAAGGCAGAAGTATCGGCGCAATCCACTAAACAATCCCTATCAACTGCAATTACCTCATTCGAATGCCATCTCCTCGGGTGGCACAACACTCGAGGACAACAAGATCCTGGAGATGCTGTCATCGTTCGAGCCAGATCCGCTCTGCGTGGGACACGGCGGGATTGACCTCATGAATCGACAGATGGATGTGAAAGTCTTCATGGATGATCGTATGGGAGTTGATGCTCAGGAAATGCTTAGCGTTTTAAGTGATTTGTATGATAGAGAATTAGTCAATGTAATCAGTTGGGCAAAACAAATTCCAGGTAAGCACTTTCAGTCATGAAGAAGCTGTGAATTTAGCTCTGAATGTGTGCTTTTCTCATTAGGCTTTACAGATTTACCTCTCAATGATCAGATGAAGCTACTCCAGGGAAGCTGGGCAGAGATTCTCACACTACAGTTGGCTCATCGGTCAGTGCCATTCAATGGCAAGCTGTACTTCGCCACAGACTTCTGGCTTGACGAGAGATCAGCCAAAGAATGTGGTGCCGTGGAACTGTACAGTCATGTAAGTTATTCTGTATAGAGAAAATCCTTCGTTCACTCTTAATTAATTCTACGTTCTGGTTCTACTTGCAACAGTGTGCCCTTACAATTCAACGTGTGGAAAGAATTGCGGCCAGCAAAGAGGAATATTATTTACTTAAAGCTCTTCTATTGGCGAATTGTGATGTTAAATTGGACAATTATGGAGCTCTGAGGAAATTCCGGGAGACAATTCTCAATGCACTCAATGATTGTGTTTATGTGCTGAGGTAAGATATATTCCCTCACAGCACGATGTTAGATGAGTTGTACGCTGAATGCGAATTAGCATTTTTAGGCATAGACTTAACAATGTTTTCGTAGCATTGAAAATATTTGTACAAACAATCTTGCTCAGCATTATTGACTTTAAGCATTTTTGCATGAAATTGTGCATAAGATCGTCAAACATTTGCCACTTGAGCATGCCAATGCTGACAGAGTTGTAATGGATTTTTTGCCATTTGCAGGCATAGCTCAGCCGTTTCTCACCAGCAGCAGCTGCTCCTTCTGCTGCCGGCTCTCAGGCAGGCGGATCCCATAATCAGGAAGTTCTGGAGCCGAATTTACCGCGAGGGAAATGTCACGATGAATAAATTATTTCTGGAGATGCTGGAACCAGTCTCACGGTAGACATTTTGAGTTTCTTCCATGAATAAAATCATGAATTCTCTTCTTGTTGCAGATAAAACTTAAGAACGCTTCTTCAGAATGGCGGGCATGGAGATTATTGGGGAGTTTTTGAACTGGGATTTCATTAACATATGGATGGGATGTGATCTTAAGAGAATATAAAGAAGGAAGTTTGAGCAATAATTGGATAAGATTGACGAAAGAGAGTTAAAACTGATTGAGAGCATATTGTGAGAGAAACGTATAATTTTATTGGAATCTCTTTATTGTAGATGCATTGGTTTTTTTCTATTATTCTTCTATATACAAAATGAAGTATATAAAGTTATCACAGTTGAGAAATTTTACCAGCTTCACGATTATTTAATAAGCTTAAGTGAAAGATAAAATGGTAGAATCAAGCTTAAAGTTTAAAAATTGACAAAAATTTCCATGGAAAAATCTTAATAATTTTTAAGACTAAAATATTTTGTCAATTGAGTACAAATTTGAGATGATGGAGAAATGGTTACATTATAATTCTCTCTTCTTTCAGCATAAAAACGAAATTGTCTCACTAAAATTGCAATATAAAATCTTTATCGTTAATAAATGAATTTATAATTTCATCCTCTAAAAATTAATACGTTTATAATATTGTGGATAAAATTACATGATTTTAGGGCTAAACAAAAATCATTGCGATATAGAAACACATTTTAGGAAGATTCTAATTAGAGAAAAAAAAACTATGAGAACAATTGCGTTAAAAAATTGTAATTTGCAAGCACTGTGATAGATATTAGGTGATGTATTTTTTATGTTACAGATGATTGATTATAATTTTTACCAATGAAAATATTTGAAAAGGCAAGAAATGAAATTCAACCTACACAATTTCCAATCTAATCCATGCAGTGTACAAGTCAGATGGTAAATGCAAATAAACCTATATAATTTTACTACCGAGCAAAAGTAACACAGAATTTAATTCTTCTATTTTTTAAGCAAATATTTCACTTTATTTTTGTTACTGCATAAAATTCTTTTGTGAATTTATCAATCACTTTTCACAGTATAATTCCTTTAATTCCAATGTTGATTCTCATCCCGCACTTCATGAAAAAAATGGTTTCTCTTTTTAAATTCAGGTTAATTTTTGGCAAAGTATTTTATTGTGTAATATATTATGTCAATAATAATTTTACAAAAATAAAACATTAATAATTATTCTTTTTAGTTCTCGTCAACGGTCGACATTTTTGATATTTGAAATTCCGGAAAACGCACACGTCAATGTTTTTTTCTTCGCTGCCGTGATTTGCTGTGCAAGTTGTTGCGCATTCTTTTCGCACTCATTTAGCGATAATTGCAACATTTAACGTGATTAGTCCAATCAATCGCGATTACTGGGTGGAGCTCCTCCTCTGGGTGGTGAAAATTGTTTATTTACTCAAGGATTTCGTAAGATTTGACCGTTCTCAGCGACAGTGAGGTTATGTGCTGAGGGTAGGATTTCCAGACATTCCTCTGCAGGAGGTCTTTTCGTGGCTTGATTACACAGGGAAGTCTCAACATTATGGCCAATTGGACGAGGAATGAACCACAGAATTCGTCCAGGAGGAAAAAGTGGAATCTCGACAGTAAGTTGCAAGAATAACGCAATGTCTCTCTCTGGTTTCTGGGATTCCTGCATGTTTTCATCTCTGTGTCTTCCAGACAAACAGTCTCTCGATAATCTCAAATACCAAATAGCCGAGGATGGTTGTTCACAAGTCCAATATGATTTGGCAACCAAATTGCTGGCGGAAAACTCAGGTGAGAGTCCAACGTTGTTCTTATTGGATAATAACTCCAGTTGACTCTGCACTTTTGCAGACGGAGATAACGAGAGCAAAGGCGTCCATTGGCTCACGCGGGCTGCCAAGGAGGGTCACGAGGGTGCTTTGACACTCCTGCAAGAGTGTTTTAGAACCCGTCGTGGCATCAGCGCATCAAATGAGTACGAGGTTCAGGCGTGTCTCTCGATGAGTCGGGCCGAGAGGGCGGCGAGGAAGGCTGCTCGGGAAGTCTTCCTCTGTCTGTCCAAGGGCGAGGAGTTCATCACGGCGGCGCAGCTGGAGAGCAAAATGCGAGAAATCTATCGAATCCAGAAGAATCGCCGAAGACGAGGCGCTCCTGAGAATCTGGAGAATGGCATCTCGGCAAGTCCTCAGCTCTACCGCCGCCGAGTGCTCAGTGGCGACGAAGAGGTGTTCACAGAGGCGAATCTTATTTCTGCCGCCGGACAGTATTCCCATGGCCACTTGCCAAACTTGAATCGAGTCATCACGATATCCGAACCTCATCCGCACTCCCTCGATCACGTGCCGCTGCTCTATCGGCCAATTGTGCATCCGTTTCTCTTCTGGACGCTCCTCTACCATCGCCTGATTAAGATGTTGGCCTCCTTGCCGGACTGTGACTACAGTGTGAAGATTCCAGCGCTGCTTATTGTCTACCTGACCTTTTCCAGTGACAGCACAAACTTGGCGATGTTTCTACCCACTGCTGCCTACTATCTCTCCATTCTCTTCCTCATTGTGTCCACGTGCAAGATTCTGAAGTCGAAGCACAACTACGTGGACTTTCGAATATGGTCAGGCCTCTTTCTGCGCTATGGCGATGAATCGCTGGATACGGAGAGCACCGAGGCGCAGTTTCTGAAGAACAATCTGAAGCCTTTCATGTACTTCTTCGCGGCTCTCATTACGAATCTGATGCTGACGCCAATTGTCTCTGACCAGTGGATTCTTCACTCCGAGATGACGGTAATTGCATTCGTGCTGGTCTTCATTACTCTCTTCGCCTTCATGTACTCAACGTCCTCCTTTATGCCCGACTATCTCATCCTCATCTCGTTCGGAGTGAATGTCCTCGCGAAGTATCCGTACGAGATGGACAGCGTGGTTAACCAAGGATGGCGATTTCTGGACCTCCAAGTGCCCTCATTTCAATCCTTTGTCATTGGGAATGGAATTGAGTTTTGCCTCAACTGTCGCGCACTGCTTTACCTCATCATACCAGTGTTGATGGTGCAGATTGCGGCCAGAGAGAATTGGCGAGGCATCTACAAATTTCTCATACCGCACTGTGTGACCCTCAGTTGGCTCCAAATCTGCATCTCCAGCTCTCAGTTCTCCACAATGTTTGGCCTCGTGCGAGCGACGCTAGGTTTGGCGGGAATATTCCTCTTCCTGCCTCTGTTCGGCATCGCTACTCTGCTGCTTCCTGTCTTCACTGTTGTGGACTCCTTCATCACCACCACACCAACTATCAAGCTGTCTGTAATTGCCCTGGTGGCGATCGTCATTCTCATCGGGTGCAGCTTCCTGGCCACAAATCCCACAACGCAGAAATACTTGACGTTCTTCCAGGTATGATTTTGAGAGATGGAATCTCTTGCTGAGATGACTCTTTTTCTCTTGTTCTTTGCAGTTTTCCATCTGCATTGCCGTGATTGCCATTCAAATCAGTCCAATGCTGTCGTCGAATATTGGAGTGCCGCGGAATGAAGACTCACTCTTCAATCCTCTAGTCGAGAATCTGGCTCCCATTGAGTCGTCGCACGATTTCTCTGACAGATCTTACGGCATGAGTTGGGAGGTGTTCTATCGATACTGCCAGAACCCATCCTGGGAGCACGTGAGCAAGGTCAACTCCCGCATTCGCTGCAACGCACTCAATGGAGTCACCGTGAAGTGGGATGGAACTGTGAGGGAGGTGGATTTGAGCAGGATCAGCAACAGCAAAGAGACCCTGCTCAAGTACGTGAAGCCAAAGTTTCTCAGGGATATGTTAGTGTGCTACTTTGGCGAGGAGACCACCGTCAAGTGTGGATCAAATGAGGATTGCGAGGACATGAAGGACTTTATAGAGAATAATGCCAAATGCCATTTGGGTAAATTCAACACGTAAGTTCTTATTCGATTGCTATTTATTTATAAATTTTAATAAGTTTCCTTCTAACTTAGGTATGACTATCAAATCACCGTTCGCATGAGCTCGGGAGTGTTCAAGGCGCCCACGGAGATTGCTCTCGTGGCAGAGCATGAGTTTGGGAACTTTACGATGCGCCTCAACCAGTCGGATCGCGTGTGGTTTGTCGGAGAGCTGAACATGCTTCGTGAGACTGACAAGGGGTCCGCGCAGAATCCGGGCGTGAGGATTGACCTGAAGGCGATGGGATGCCTGAGTTGCTCGGACAAGGAGCTCACTTTCGTGAAAGTGAGTGGCAGTGACTACAGATGGGAGACCTTCGGTCAGAGTTTCATCAAGTGTTGCAAATATGTACTCAACATCATCTTCAATCCTCTGCTTACCTTCAAGTGAGAGAGATCCTCGATGATGCCGGATGGGGTGCAATAAATGATTACCATTAGTGTGCGTGAGGCCCTTTGGCTTGCGTGGCCTTCTTGTGTGGCAAGAAGATCCAATCCAGGACGTCCGTGAGACCGCTGTTAGTGACAGCGCTTGTCTCCACGACTGTGATGCGCTGCCTCAACTCCTTCCGCAGTTTCGCCAATTGCAGCATGAGCAGGGCTTCGTTTCGCATCTGGCGATAGGCCAGATCCATCTTCGTCAGCACCAGCAAGATATCGGCCGTTTGCAGGCGAGGCTCCGTGAGGATGGTGTAAAGGAGGACGCCGGCAGCTGAGATCTGGCAGAGATTGGACGTGTCCACGACGTAGATAACGTGAGTAACTCCCTCGAAATATCGCCTCCAGATTGGCGCCATTGTCCCGCCAATTTCACGGATTTGCACGCTAAGGACTTGCCTTGCCTTCTGCTTATTACTCTCTGTCTCCTTCACATTGGGATTCCTTATTGTGTAGATATTCGTGCCAACAGTTGATACAGAGTAGGATGTTTCATTGATGGACTCAGTTTCCTTGAGGCAGTGAAGCAAGTGGGTTTTTCCTGAATGTATTCGCAAAACGTTGATTTTCAGGGACTTCCTTTGGAGAGTGATTGCAATTACCTGATCCTTTGGGTCCGATGCAAATGTAAGACATTTTTAGGGGATTTTCAGGAAGTTTAATCGAACATTTCCTAGGCAACCAACGGACTTGGTGATATGATTTTCAAAAGATTCTCGCGATGTTGGAGAGTCATGAGGACTTGTCCAGCTGGGTTTCTTTCCGGAATGAAAACATAAACATAACCCTCGCAAACCCGCTGAAGTGGGTTTTAATGAAAATCAGTGCAATCCTGTTCAGCAGAGCGTTTCAAAGGATGTCTCAGAACCTAGTTCAGTACATCATTGTTCGGAAGGACGTCCTCAAGGAGCATGGGCTCCACTTCATAATGGGCGAGGCTTGTTTAGTTTGTTCCGCTGTTCATTTTGCGTGCCAAGAAGATCCGGCCACGCAAGAGTACTTCAAGGACGTGGACAACATGCACAAAGTCGTCCTGGGGGTGAGAAATGCATCTTTAACAATTCACAAATTCATTCTTTAATACGATGTTTCCTTTTCTTCTTGTCAGGTTGATAATGAATCGCAATTGCTGAAGTTGGCTAATGATCTCAAAGAAAAGGATTTTTCTTTCGAGCTGCGGACAAATCCTGAGAAAAACATTCCCACTTGTTTGGCCATAAAGGTTTACGAGAAGGGAGAAATTGCTCATATGGTGAAGAAATTCAAGCTTCTGCGATAGATTTAAGTTGATGTTACACTTTGGATATAGTAATAATTATTTCTTTGAACGTTCTGTGACTACATGGTGAAAGATATCGGTGATTTTTGATAGCTCCTTTTGGAAGTATTCCACCTGCCCCTGTAGTCTCCTATTTTCCCGCTTAAGCTCTGCAATTTCCGCCAGGAGATCCTGAAGATAGAAAATCTTGTTCAGTGTTGCACTGAAAAATGCAAGATTTGCAATGAACTTACTCTGCCTATCTGAGGCTTTTCTTCCGCAATTACTAGCGTAGATGCTGGAAGAATTTCAATCTCCGGAGCACAGGCAGATGTGCTGGGCTGAGGACTCTGAACGGACGAACTCTCAGTCTCCACCAAGGGATCCAACTCGTCTGATTGATCTTCAGAAATGCTGGAAATGTTCAAGTCCGGCAGTGTGTCTGAAGCAGAATTTGCTTCGAGGTTCTTGTTGGATCGAGGATAAGTCCTGACTATCTGGATTCCCAATTCCGACGTGTTTGTATGCGGCGGAGGACTCTCAATTGAATATGTTTCGGTATCCTCATTGTCCATATCAACGTCAGGTGGGACAGCGGGCTGTTCTGACGAGGTTTCTGCAGGGGGATTTGATGGAATCGACTTTACGCAGCCAGGATATGTTTTCACTGCCTTTTCCAGTCTCTGAAGTGAACTTTCAGCCCTGCAAAACTTGATGAACTTGAGGATCTGCTCCTCCATCTCGCTCAGAGGCTCCACCAAGCCTCTGACATCTCCCAATCTCTTCGCTTCAATGGTAATAGCAGCCTGTTTCTCCCTCACTCTCCCGATCATGTTCTTCCACATCTGCAAGCGAAGGATCATCAAATACACCTCCCAGTTGTGTCTATAAAGCCTTACCTTGTGCCAGAGATGCAATTTTCGTGGCGGTCCAAGAGTATTCAGGCAAACAGTGAGATCCTCCCACGCCTTCTTCCACTTCTCAACAGCCCGGACGCCTTTTCTGCCCCGGAAGAGCTCAGGATTCTTCAGAATCACCTCAACCATCTTCTCTCTCTGCTTCGAATTGGCGTGCTTCTATAAGGCAAAGGAGGTTTTAGTCTTGATTTTAGGAAAATCAATTCTATGCATTCTTACCGATTTTATCCTCTGGATAGTGAGAGTGTGAAGAGGCTTCACTTTAATCCTTGGCATAATGTCTAGAAGCAGGAGAATGACAAAGGTACTTTCTTAGAAAATATACACAATTTCTTATCATTCAGAATTCTCACCTTTTGGATCAATTTCATCATCCATTCTTGTTGTATTTATTTACACGGTTAGCATATAAATAGTCTTTTACTTTAGTCGAGGATAATTTATCTCCAAATTACCGTGTTTTGCGATGAAAAAGACAAATTCGACTTGGGACGTGTCTATTGACAAAATATCTGCACTCAAATTGAGGAAATCCTTTGAAAATGGACAGAAAATGATCAGAATATGCGTGTAAATTCACTGATGCCCTTTTCAATTGCAAGACTATTTGACATTAGCCTTTTGCCGATGAGAAAAGTCCACATCAAGACTCAGCGTTACTCGGTTGTCGATGCGCAACTGCTGACTCACACGCTGTAATGTAATATTTAGCGTTCAGTTTTTAGTACGCATAAGAGAAGGCATAAAGCAAGAGAAAAGTCCTTTAAATTTCACTGTACAGTAACTTTATTCTTCTTACTTGCACATGGTAAAATTAAAAATCTTCACTTAACTGAGATTCTGCTCACAAGGGCATCATCTTTCTCCCTTTAACATCCGCAAAGATGATAAACTTGCAAATAATCTCATGTCCTCAAATCTCAGTCAAAAGTCTCAACATTATACGGGAATGTTGTCCTTAAGAGTAATGGAACGTTTTCTCCAAGGGGGAAGTCACTCGCAAGTTGAGACCATTAACTTTGTGATTATTTAATCATTTTTATGATTATTTGTGATTATTAATCAAATTTTGATTATTTCATACAAAATTCTGATTATTTTTGATTATTTCTGATTATTCTGATTATTTCATACAAAATTCTGATTATTTTTGATTATTTGTGATTATTTCTGATTATTCTGATTATTTCATACAAAATTCTGATTATTTCTGATTATTTTATGATTATTTGATTAAAATCGATTTTTTTGCACAAATTCTGATTTTTTTATGATTATTTTCTAAATATTTGATTAAAAATTGATTTTTTTGAACCAATTCTGACTATTTTATGAATATTTTCCGAATATTTGATTAAAAATTAAATATAAATGTAAAAATCGTGAATAATTAAAATATGTTCCGTGTTTGCCGCGAGGCGGCGCTGCCCCCTCGTGGAGAAAATAATCATTTTTTGATTATTTCTGATTATTTGTGATTATTCTGATTATTTTTCAATTTTATATGGAAAAATAATCATTTTTTGATTATTTTTGATTATTTGTGATTATTCTGATTATTTTTCATTTTTATATGGGAAAATAATCATTTTTTGATTATTTTAGTCAAATAATCGATTATTTGATTTGAGAACATTAAGTTTCCTCTAAAATCGCCTTGTGACTTCCCCCTTGGTTTTCTCAATTCTCCTGATTTCATTTGCTCGCACTCTCAAATAAATTACGTTTCTTTTGTGTGTAATTAGCGGGGAAGGGGGGACTATGTACACGACGATCCGTTCAGCTTGTGCTACCTCGTGGTCTGATTCTGGTTCTCCTGCTGAAGACGCCTCCTCTCTGCCAGCACGCGACAGCGACCGCTCTTGAGCCGCAGACTATTGATGTTGCGACTGGACAGTCTCACAATACTGTTGATGTTCCTCTTCACCATGTCATAGTACGCTCTCATGACTCTCAGCCGGTAATTGATGTAGAAGTGCTGCTGCAGGGACGTTGCACATTTTCTCCGGCACTTCTTTGGGTTGTCTATCTTCTCCGGAGGCGTCCCAGCAGCTCCTCTGCCCGGTGCATTAGTCTCTGCGGCTTTCGAGGATGTGGCACTGAATACAAAGGGATTGTCTCGCTCCGTCGGCGGGACTTGTCGCGAGCACTCGCCCTCCTCCTCATCATCATCATCTTCACTGTCGCTTTGGTCATCACACACCGCCTCCGAGAGGCTCTTTCTCCTCTCGTCAGCTCCCTGGTTCAGGTTTGCCCACATGCTCTTTATGAGATTACAATCGCGTTTCGTGTAGTTGATCACTCGAGATTTTCTCCTCGCCTGCGGCTCCTGCTCAGGACACGTCTCATCATCCCGATTGCTTCCGCCTCCGCCGCACAAGTCCTTCGCACCGCCGCTACTGCATTGGGGCGACGGACCATTTTCCGGCGCAGACTGCGAAGCTTCGTGCCTCATTTCGCTATCATTGTCCCGACTGGCGCACGTTTCCACTCCTTCGGCAAGAGCATTCATGCCGCAAGGCTGATAAATCACTGCCGAAGCGTGTCCCGATCGCCCAGATGTCAAGGGTGTGCCCTCTTCCCATGTATTCCTCACTGGATCATACACTTCCACGATAGCCAGGAACTGCTGCCCGTCAAATCCACCCATGGCGTACAGTTTCCCATCCAGAACCGTGAGCGAAAGAGCGCTTCGAGCGATCCGTATCTCAGCCACCATCTCCCAGATCTGCTGCTCAGTGTCGAAGCGCTCCACAGAGGACAGTTGCGCTTGCCCATCGAATCCTCCCACTACATAGATGTACTGATTGAGGGCAGCAACACCTGCAACAGCACACAAGAAAATCAAATTAAACGAACTCGGAGGATTGCATTGTGATTGCAAACTTACCTGCTCCACTTCGACCAATTCTCATAGAAGGCAAACATGTCCAAGCATTATTCTCTGGATGATAACACTCAACAGTCGCCAAGCGATTCTCGCCATCGAATCCACCAATAGCATAAAGCAATCGATTCACAACAGCCACACCGACTCCAAGACGCTTAGAATGCATCGGTTGGACCATGTACCATCGATCGTCCTCTGGATCGAAGCTGTAGTGGAAGTTTGAGGATTTAGGATTACATTCCTATTGGGACATTCTTTCTTATACTCACTATTCAACTGTGTTGTGATATTCTGAACCGGCTGACCCGCCGACAGCGTAGAGAAGCTCATCCATCACAGCAACTCCGACACGATGTCGAGGGACAGTCATCGGAGAGCAGGGCCTCCACTGTTCTGTCACGGGATTATATCTGCATCGGAAAGAGAAGTTCACATTCATTATTCGTCCTTTAGTGGGCAATTGATGCGGCATTACCGATCCACCCAGTCCGAGTCGTAGGAAGAGCCAGGAGTGTTGTTGCGACCGCCCACGGCGTAGAATGTTCCCTTGAGGAAGGCTGCTCCCAGGCCTGAGCGAGGCACCCTGAGCTGAGGCAGCGTGGTCCACGTCTTGTCGTCGACATTGAACGCCTCCACCACATCCAGGGAGCCCCTGAAGTAGCCGCCGGCCACGAAGATCATCCGCGTCGTGTTGGGTCGTCGCTCCTTAACCACGGGCTTCTTGTGCAGCGTCAGATCCTTGAAAATGCGCGCCAAGTATTCCCTGCACGCCGGCACCTTGCGCAACACGTCGCAGTTCTTCATCTGCTCCTTGAGGAAGCTCGGCGTGAGATATTGGCAGCGCACGGCGTACAAGATATGCTCCATTTTGGGATATCTGTTGTCCTCGTCGTATTTCACCCACTTCAGCACGGCATTGTACACCTCCCTCTCGCCCTGGACGTTCAGCTCGTCCTTCCGAATCAGGCTAACTAGCTGAATGGCTGACAACTGCAGGAACTCCTCCTCTTGGCAAATCTGCAAATATTTTCATATCATCGATGGTGGCAATCAACTGATACAATCTCTAATTGTACAGCTTGTGAACAAACACCCTCTCCAAATACTCTGGTGACTATCTCGAATTGTGTTCTTATCGCGTTGATAATGATCAACACATTGCATAATTATCGGCTGATTTAGAAAGTGAAAGTCATTCTCTGCTGCAGATTTTAACAACATCATTAGTACGAAAAATACTGACGATTTCCGTCGAGATATCGATGGTCAAACTTCACTTGATCAAATCTTGGTATGTCACGTGTTTATCACTCGATATCACTTATCTAAAGCTGTGGAAAACGTCACTGCAAAATCTTATTTTGCAGACAAACAGAGAGGAAGAAGATATTAGAAATCATATCGCCAAAATCAAAAGAATTATCATTTGCTGTGTAGTTTAATTTATCGAGAATCTTATTCTCCATCTCAAATTTAATTCCATGCAGAACTTCCTTGTTAAATCGTCGGTCATTTCCCAAAAGTTATATTCAGAGAATCCAAACATCTGGCCACAAGTGTCTAGAAATCATGCTTGAAAAGGGAATACACTCTGACTTGAACTCTCTCGCCTCTATTTATAGATCATGTGAGAAAATCGTCTTTCCTCTCGCAAAAAAAAAGAAATCTCGGCAGACTTGATTATTATGTTTTCGGGAAAGTCATCCACATACTTCATGAAAAGTGAGACACAGAAATTAGAATCAATTTTAGAAAAAAAGAGCGCACAAAGTGTCGCAAGAAAAAATTGAAAATACTACAAAATAATAACTTGCAGGTCACTAATTGGCGATCTCTGATCCGTGGAGGTTAAACGATTAGAGATATTGGCGTGTGCTTTTCACATCTATATAAAAATGATACAATTTGCTTCCACTCGCATTCCCGACGCGCGATACATATTTCATTCAACTTTGCGGAAAGACGCCAAAATATCCTAGAAGGAAGCGCCGAAAGTGAGTGGTTTTCGCGGCAAAACGATCAGGAGGATGTCCAGGCACGTTTGCTTGAAAGAATCAGCGAAAATGACGGAATGTACCTGAGTAAAATGCCTCTCGATGAATTGTATTGCCTTCTGCTTGAGACTGTCGCAGCTGTGCTGCTCGGCGAAGTTCGATATTCCAATGGCATTCGTGGGATCGAGCTGACTCTCCAGGAAGGCACAACAGGCATCGATGACGTGGGCCACTTGGAACATCGTGGCCGCTGGCAGTAATTGGCACACCGTGACTTCCGTGACACGAATATGTCCCGTGTACATGAAGAACATCATTTGACCCATTGCAGTGGGGCAAATCTGCAAATAAGCGGAAAGTATTATCAGTTGAGCAATTCGAATTACGTACATAAATCAATCAATAATAAGCAATAAGAGCAATAAAACTCACTCCTTGCAATTTAACGCGCGACATCTCAGTCTCCTTCAAACCACCCGTGAACATGGCCTTAAAGTAGGGACTAGCAGCTGATAATACGACTTTGTGCGCATGAAAGATCTCCTTGCCCACCTCCAGCATCACGTCCGTGAGCATATGGTGAGATCTCATCATGAACATCATCTTTAGCACTTCTTTGGAATACTTTGCTATGCGGAATGTCATATCGCCGGAGTCTTCTTTGATCAGAGCCACATCCTCTGATGAAGACGATGAACACGTCGAGTCACCGGTTACGGCTATCTCATCGGCAACATCCATTGGTATCTCTTGGTAGCACTGCAAAAGGGAAAGGCCAAACGGTTAGAGAGTCACCAAGAGCGCGCTTGCTGATAAGAGTGCTCCGCGAGACGACGTTTGAGGCTATTTACAGACAATCACTGTGGGCATCATCTTACGAAATACGGCCGAAGACTTTCTTCAACCTCTGATGAAAATATTCGGCCGAAAGTGAGATGAAGCGCCAAAGACATTGCTGAAGGCCTCAACATCAGCAGACAAATTCATCCGCGGGATTTAAAGGAATACCTTATAGGATTTATTGGGATTCCTTGGAATATATTGGGATTTGAAAGAATTCCGTGGGATTTACACCAATTCCTCATAGGATTTATTCCCTTTTTGTTCGGAATTCCGTGGGATTTAAAGGAATTCGAAGACTTAATCAAACACTCAACATCAGCAGACAAATTGTAGCCTAGCAAATTTGCACCGCGTCATCGAGTCAGTCGTGTTTCAACAGCAGTTATTAATTTGAGGTCGCAATCAGAGGCCAGACAATGAGAAATTGTATGTCATGATGCAAAGTTCTTTCACTCAAACCTCATCTTTTATTCATCTCCAGTTGCAAATCGGCCAAGTAATGAGGCGCTCTTCTTTCCTTTTCCCCCCCCCATCGAAGACAATCCACTTAGATAAGGCGTCAAGGCAAGAATATCGACGTCAAGATTATACAGTAAATGCAAAGTTCACTGATGTGTTTCGTCTCAAAGTTAAATGCCCCCTTCTTATGAAATTACAATCAATTGGTCGAGCGCGCAATTTTGTGGAAAGTCAGAGTTGGAGAAGTATGAAAACAGTTGGAAATTTCAAAGTTCCTCCCATAAAATGTAGTCACACGATGAAGAATTATTATTCGAAGCAATTTATAAAAGTATTTATCCAATTGAATGTTTTTTTTCCCCTCAAAAGCACTAACATAAAATATTGCACGAGACACCGGAAGATATTAAAGTAAATGGAGAGATAATAACGTCAGATACAACACCGATGATACAACAATTTTCTCCATACAGAAAAGAATACACTTTTTTCCTACATTGTTTGACAAACATTTGAAAGGTAAAGAAACCTTTTCAGCTCCTAATTATTTCAATTACTCACATTATTTGAAGAGTGGTTTATGATTTTTTGTACTAAGATCTTTCTAAGAAAATGTACGCATGCAAAATATATGCACATTTGCGTCAGATTCCATAGATTAAATGTTTGTGGCTGATTTTAATTATGGATACTTTGAGATACCGTAAAGCATCTCTAATCCCAATAAATCGAGTTAAATCCAAGATTAATTTCTCTGTTAATCAAAAATTACCACAAACGATTTCAAAGAAGTATTCTAGTTTAGCTAAAAGTCTTAATATTAAAATGATATTAATTTTGTACATTTTAGCCAAGCAACAATTGTTTCATTGTTGAAACTATACACTGAAAAAAAAAATCAATATTCATTTAACACGCTTCTTGGACGGCTCACAAGATAACCCTGTCTTGAATATTTGCCTCTTTTGCCTTATCTCGAGGAGAAATAATTATCGATGTATGACACCACTTTATGTGTGGGAAAATTCTCCCTGCTCAAATGTTGTGGGCAAAAAAGTTGCTAATACGAAAATTGATAACAACGCGATGAAGATTGCGAAAATATTCTCTCTTGCGCGGTCTTTCAGCATTATTTTAGTTGTGAATCATGGATGTATTGCAAATGACATGCTGTTGAAAGCCCATCTTATCGTTTATCTTGACAGAATCAATTGTGTTTTCCACACATTTCTTTGTCAAGTGGTGACACATTAACCGATTTAAAGACATTTTTTCACAGATAAATATTCTTACGAGACATTGGAAGCTTCGACAGAACTTTTCTTGCAAGAAAATCCATTGTTTGGGTATTTTTGTAATGACAAAATAACCATTTGATAACAATATCAAGTTTCAAATGCCATTATCAATAAACTTTCCATGATAAAATGCCAAAATCACTTGAAAAATTGAAATCTCTTGGTGACAATGGTTTCCCCAAATCGTATTCTGCGCAGCATTTGAATCGCTCTAATTGAACTTAATTTTTTCTCTAAATTTTATGGTAAATCATTAAAAATTACAACATATAAATCTTTTATATGGTCTAAAGAAAAAGAGACGTAATTTTAACGGATAAAACATTTTGGCAAAAGATAGGAGGAAAAAGAAAGACGAAGAAATAAAATTGCCAGTCATCTGTTTAAATTTTTATCAGTTTTGTGTGTTTTCTTTCTTTGTGAACACACCGAAAAAAAAAGTTGAAAAACCACAAGTTTGATGTAGGTGTTGTATGATCTCTTGAATTGTATTTTTTTTTCTTCATAGTCATTCAGGAAGGACATTTGTCTACCTTGCCATTACTCCTCGCTCCATTGGATCTATGCATAATAACAGTCTCGTTCTTCCCCCTTTTTCAGTTCAACTGAAATCGCTCTGATCTGATTGAGATTTTCGCAGTCCTTGAAAGAGGATTGCAAAGCAAACTGAAGGAACTGTCCAATTGTAGTCCTTCTCAAACTCACAATCACAACACGTTCCTTGCAAGCCTGCAATATCACATGAACCGCTGAGAGAAGTCTGTTATGCCAAGGAGACTTTCAACGCGATAAGCATATTATTTTACACACTGCGGGAGAAAATCCTTCAATTTCCCACACTTCACTTTATCCCGGGCTTTCGTGGACACTTCCTCAGACTGTGTCTGCTGTCCTGATACGCTTAGAGTTGCGCTGTGTGCTCTCCTTGTTGCCCCGTTACACTTTCACACCTTTTCTCGTCATCCGAGAGCGATTGAGGTGAAACTTGAGAGCTCCAATCGTCTTGCTGGCCACCAGTAGAATTAAATTGTGTGGCTGCCATAAACAAATGCCGCCAGAGCAGAAATATTTTCTGCTTATTCATCGTGATAAAGCCTCACACAGTCGCACACACTCTTCCTCAACATTTTCAATTTCAGTCACACATATTTGCGAGTGTTGGAGACCGGTTTAATATACGCCACAGTACATGTGCTCTCTGGCATCGACGAGTCAACAATGTATTGTCCACGCTTCCCTCCCCACGAAAATTCACCCAGCCTTTGCTTTTCCCACCTCAGATGATCGACGAAAATGTGTGACAAGGAAATCAAACATGTGTGCTTTGCCTACCTTTTTGCACGCGCGCGGCTCAATTGAAAAAATTCGCACTTTCCGAGAGAGACAGAAAAAAAATCCATACATCATCTCACTTCCCATGAAAGGTACATCGAAAACGACTTAGAAGCGCTAATTTATGTTGTTTTTCATCATATTCAATTTACACATTCCGCCCGGTCAAATAGATAAACACAGGCTAAAAAGGCATTACATTTTTGTTGGTGAGTTTTTCATGAGCCAGGCAAAATCAAAACATTTCAAAGACCTTCCTCACTTTCTCTGATGTTGGCCAAAATATCTTTTTGCCATCCTTCTCCTTACGTACGATTGTGAGAGTGTGTTACAGAGAAAAATTCCCATCTGCAAATCATTGTAATATATTTGAATTATCTAACAATACAATCCACTCGAGAACATTATCAAGATAAGACAATCCCCAACAATATATGCACAATGTTAATTGTAAGGGCAATTCAAACTTACAAAGTATAGACAATCATTTACCATCAAATGATCATTTCAAGTGAGGGAATCCTTTCGTGAAAACTCGCGTGCTTTGTGGGCCAACAAATCACATGATACTTTTTTGCTCACTTCGTCAACTCGTGCGATTTTCTTATCACAGCGGTGGTTTCTACTAGAATTTTGTGTATTCCACATTTAGCATGCGTGATGATGATTTTTTTTTGTAATTGAAGCGCTGTGTTTGTCCACGCTTTCACTTTTGGCGAAAAGAGTTGAGAAATAAACTGGTGCGACCAAATTTCCTGAGAAATTCTTTATCAAATCTGTCGTGTGATTAAATTGTATCACTTGTAATCGAAAAATAGTCGTTCCTGGTAATTTATCTCATACGTAAACACTTTTTCGAGAATGTTGTGGAGGAAAGTTTCACAATATCTCAGGTATGAACTTCCTGCCTTTATTTCTATTTGTGGAACATCCCCAAACTTCCTGCCATAAAGGAATGATCTCATTTAAAGTATCAAGATTAATTGATCCACACAGATTCATATTCTTTGCCAAGTAAATTGACTTCTAACTTTATCTTCATGCTTTTGAATAAAATCCTAAGTTCATCATAAAATAGATTCTCTGATAAATCAATCTCAATCATCTCAATGTTCTCAACAATAGGAGTTATAGAACGTCTATAAATTGAACGGCGTGAAAAGGTTAATTTTTCCCTTTGCAAAGACGTAAAATATTTTATATGAACCTTTGAAAAACCCCCTTTTCGAGTGTTATTCGCGATAAGAAGCTGGCAAAAAGTGCACAATCAGCCTGAGATCAGGGGATCGGCGAGATTGGAGTGAAACGATCCAGAAAGGGTCGCGCTGCAGCTGCGCGGCAATTCATCAAGTTTCCACAGGCAGTCGGACGAATCAATTGTATTCAAAGTGTTATTTTGCGTGTAATTCTTTCCGCGATATCTGAAGAGATGCACGTTTTCTGAGTGTGAGAATAGGCGAAGATACGGTTGGAAATGCGAATTGGAAACGCTGTGTGTGTGACGCAAGAGCACACCACCAACCGAGCTCATGGCGAGGCGTATGACAAAATTATGACTCGACAGAATGCTTCGTGATTGTGTGATCGCGTATGGAAATCTTATCGAAAGCAAGGCCCCAACTTTTTGGAGGAGAGGACACGAATCGACACCCGATCGAGCGACGCAACCCACTTGCCGGAGTTGCAAATCACGCTAAAGAGCCTCTATCTCGCTGGATCTTTACTCTTATCGGGCGAAGTTTCTTTTCTGGCCAACTTCTTATCGCAGTCGTGTACTTTCTTTGAATTTCTCCTACACTTCTCAAGGGGTTCTGTGCGGAAGGAAACATAAACAAGATGCGAACAACTGAGCTGTTTCGTCAGAATATCCCACTTTTTGCAGTGTAGAACTGCAGATAATTAACTTCCTGTTGTTTTGGAGCAATGTTTTTGATGAATTCTTCCACTTAGAATGACTTCTACTGTCTCTCAGTGCAACGTACAGATGCTCTGAACAATTGAGATTGGAGAAATGAACATTGCAGGGGTAAAAACAGCAAATTTTACCGCATAACTGAGAAAAAAATCGCTGAATCATGAATAGAAAAAAATCGAAGAATGTAAAAGTCACACCTTGCGATAACGCTAATCACTCAGGCTAAGAGAAACATCGCGAATGCAGGAAGCAAAACCACCTGAATTGATCAAAACAGCATAAAATCTACTAACCTCAATGTCACTGATGCGAAATAGAAGCGGATCAGGAAGTAAAAATTTCGTGTAAACTCTGAGGAAATGTAGCACAGATCTTATGCAATTACACACACATTTTACACGTAAAACATGTCACTTATGCAGTCAAATATCGCACGAGACACTCAGAGGACGACATGAGAGCACTAATTGTGTCGCGATTTGTGCTTTTCACGCCAAGACCACACGAAAAGTACTCACAAAATACTCTCGCGCACGGATGTGAAAAGTCAAAACAAATCCCCTCCAGTGACATTCACGGGGTTCCGGACATTTCCGGAGGGGTTTAGTACACCGAACATCCGAACAGCAGAGACACACTCTACACCGAATCAGCTGTTAGCTTAGTACATAACCTCAGCCGGCAGTCGTGTGTTTTCTTTGCTCGGAAAATGTCTCTGAAGTGTGTTTTTCCTCAGATTATCAACAATTTCTTGAGAAGAACCAGCCATGGAGCTTCTGTTTGTCACTATCACACGACGAATTGTGTGAGAAAAGCGGAGGATCGAAGGGAAATGCTGGCTTCCATGCCCAAAAAAGACGAAGGCACAATGGGTGAAAGTGTTGTTGATATCGACTCTATGATATCTAAGTGAGTTATTCTATTCTTGCTTACATATTTCGCAAATCCTATTTCTTAACTTCTCTTTCGCAGGAGCTCGAGGAACAAAATGTTCCCGGACGCAGACACCGCCAATCAGCTGTTCAATGGAGTTCCATTCAAGGAGCTGCCGATTTGTAACATCAGAGTGTCCAAGAATAACACAATCATCACGATGACTGACCACAAAGGTGCCGTGAAGATGATCAGATCGTGTGGAATTGAAGGATTCAAGAATACCAGGAAAGGAACCAACATTGCAGCTCAAGCGACTGCCATCAGCATCAGTGGGGTAAGATTTCTCAGCCACACTCTAGAATCGCTAAAATTATTCTAATTCTCTCGTAACACTTGCAGAAAGCCCAGGACTTTGGCATAAAGACCGTTCGGGTATTCGTACAAGGATTGGGACCAGGAAGAATGGTGAGAAATTGTCACTTAGTTATAGAAAAATATTTAAAAGAATCTCTTTTTATTTTTAGTCGGCGATAAAAGGACTGCAAATGGGAGGAATGGAAATCGTTTCAGTCACGGATGGCACTAAAGTTTCCTGGTGTCCTCCGAGGCCACGAAAGCAGAGAACATTGTAGAGATATTAAGACAGTTTTGCTCTGAATAGAGGAAATTATCTAGTAAACATATTCTTTCAATTTTAAGGATAATAAGTGCATTTTTGATAATATTTCAAGTTAAAATTTGTGTAAATAAGGTAAATATGTTAAAATTATGATAAAAACCGGACTTTTGATTTTACAATTCTTTGATTATTGCAATTGTCGGATAAATGAATACTTTAAGTGTTTTATTTATATTTGCACACAATCATTTGTGAGAATTTATGTGGAATTTCTCTCGACATTTGATCACGTTTATATTGAAGTTCAACTGAGAATATCAGGAAGAACTAGAAACTTGTTCACACAATGCATACAACAGAATCTTAAACATGAAACGGCGTGCGTCAAAGAATTGAGATCATTTTACGTTTTTACTTCAGTCTGTGATCACAAAAAAACCGCAGGTGCTTTTTCTAGAAAATTGTGTTGGTAATTTTCCTAAAACTCATTCAACAATTGGCCAATTATCAGTCGGCTCAAGTATTGCACATGCATTTGCGGCGTCTAACTGCAATTTCCAATATTTTTTTCACTGGTGAAGTGGGGAAAATTGGCCCAGTTCGGAAAGTCTGCACACACATGCCCAGGGTTCACACGTGAAGAGCCCGCACGGGTCTCACCTGAGTGAGTGGCGAGTGGTGGGGCCTCCAGCACGCTTGTGTTGGGAATGACTCTCAATTTCATAATAGCACAAATATTGTGACGCCGTTTACCTTCAAGCCTCGGCTCAACTTTTGCCAGTGTTCGTGGAGCAGTTTTGAAAACTCGTCGTTCAGACCATTCTTGCTGCGTGTCCAGCGAAGACCACTGACTCCCGAAGAATTTGCTGGAAGTTCCCGTTGATTGTGAATAAAGTAAGCAGCATTTTGTGGCTCAAAAGATGATCTAGAGAGTGATCTTGTGAGAATGAAGTGATTGATTCAAATTCTGCGTTCAGCGACGTTGGAGAAGGTGATTTTGAGGCAGAGAGCAAAAGATGCAAGGTACGAAAAAAGAGTTACTCAATGTCTTATCTCACCAGTTGAGTGGCCCAAATAAATAAAACAACCATTCTTTTGCAATCTCTCTGCAGAGTTCTGAAATGAACCAGCCGAGGAGACAATGATCTCCTCCATGAACAGCTCCAACTCGCTTTGGTTGATCATGATCTGGATGACGCTGCTCTTCTTCTGCACACCCTTCATCTTCATGGTGGCGATCTGCCTGCCCGAGTTGCCGCTGCTCATCCTCAGGCGCGTGTATTCAATCCCCTTCGAGCCAATTTAATCGCACCCCAGCAGTCAGACATCAAAATGTGCCATAAAACGTAGTGGCATTGAAACAACTTTTTCACACCTGAACAAATTGTTGATTCGCGTTGATCGCTTTTTTGTGCTGAAGATTCCACAATTGAGTGTCTTTGTCTTCGCGTCAACAAGCAAGAAGAGAGCTTTTTTCTGGCCACTCTTGCTCTCCATCAGTCTAAAAGCAGTGATCACGTTGGGTAATTTCCTTATCTTCGGGTAAAGATATTTTGTCCGGAGCCAAAGAGTGTGTTAAAGTTGTTAAATGTGGTGGTACAAGTGAACATGGATGGCTTGGCTGTACGTACCTACAATGTTGGATGAAATATGCACAAAAGCGGTGGAGAAAGAGAGCAAGAAGACCTTGAGCGGAAAAATACACAATAGTTTTGGGAATTTCATGGAAACCTCAATTTTTTAATTGGCAGGGAAATTTTTAAAATTTACATAAGATTCCTCAAAATATGCAATTTAAACTTTCAATACGCGCCAAATACAAATATTAGGAAGAATACAATTGAAGCGCATCAAAAGTCGTGAGCATGTCCAATTGAATTCTTGTTGGAAATAATGCCGCAATAGAAGATTATAATTTTCATGCCAAATAACAAATCATCCTGAGTGACTAATCAATCTCCTAGCTTATTAAGTATGTTTATTGTAAAGCTATATTTTATTTATAGCGATTTATCTTGATAGTAATAAAAGTAATAAGCCTCCAGTTATTTATACCTTTATATAAAAACTAGATTGAGCAAAATGCGAAAATTTAACGATCATGAAACCGCACGAAGAGGATATTTTGAAATTTTGCATTTCCATTTGGTGAAATGCTGACACTACGCCTCTTCTTGCAACATTTCGTATCTCTGTGTGAGAAAACGATCTCAGATATGAGCGAAGCAATTTAATTTTAACATAGTGAAGAATTTACGTAACTTAATATAGTGGAGAATTTGGGAGGATTTAGAATTGAATAAATTCGTAATGTTACATTAAAATGTTTTATCGTTTTATTGATATCTTCGAGTTTCAACATTCAACAAGTTCTCTTGCTCTTCAAGACTTGTGTGTATTTATTTTATTTCGTCTATTTTCAACACGTTTCTCGTTATTACTCTAGAGTTGAATATGTTTATAAAAACAAGTTTCAATATTTACATTAACATCAGAAACAAGAAACACTGCAACATTGCAAAAAGTATTGACGTACGAATAAACTGAAGCACGCCTAATTATCGCAAGTTGAACGATCTTTAGAATGTTTAGCATGTTTTTATCTATTCTTTCTAAAAGACAACAATATGTTTGTGGTGTTTTTTTCAGTTTTTTTTTTATTTTATTAATCACACTTGGACATTTTATTATGCTTCTAATTTACGGCATTGCGACTGCGATTTGTCTACAATGCGAGCGTCATAATTGCGACCATCCCTTTGGCCTCCGTGGCAACGTTGAATTGTTATCAGTTTGATTGATTTTTCCCAATTCATTTGAAGAAGACGTAAATTGCTACTGTTTCTTCTATCGTGTGGAATTTTCAAAGTGTTGCATTTTCTTTCAAAGCAAAGTACTATAAATTGCAATCAAGATGCCGAGACTGGATTTCTTGCTGCGAAGGCGCGCTGGAGTAAGTTTCTAGAGAGAGAGAGTGAATTGGAGTGCCTTGTAATGAAGGCATCTTCAAGACTTCGCGATGCGTTCCAGAGCTTTTTGGTGGAAAAGTCTCGAGAATGTGTGTCTGCTGGAATGTCTCGGCATAGGTTGTGGGTCATGTGAGACATTTCAATGAGGGAAAAGTTCTTGTCGTTCTTGTTAGTTTCCCATTTGCATGCACTTGCAATTTTTCTCTTCACAGCGCACTCATGAACTCCATATTCTACCGTCTTTGCACTTTGTGTTGTGTGTGACTTCGAGTCGGGCATTTCTCTCGGGGGTGGCGACAAAGTTTTTAAAGTCACGCTGCATGAAAGTTTAATTTGTTGTCTTGAGAGGGTGTGCGCGGGGGTGGTGAACAAACTTTCAACCACCCCGTTAACTCATGAAGCTAATAAATCACATACACATGAATGGGGAAAACTGTTAACTTTTGGCTTTCCCCTCCTTCCGCCAAAATGCAATAAACATTTGTATTTTAGGAATGTAAAATGTTATCTGCGGAAAACTTTATTTTCACTTCTGCTCCGGCTTCAGTCGGCCGGAGTCCTTCGCGGTATTTGCATGTAAACTTCCTGTTTCCTATAGTCGTACTGTTTTGTCGTAGTTTCCCAAAATGACTACCTCTCCTACTGAGGGCAAGTCCTCAAGTGTACCACCTCTAGTGAGTCATCCGCTGATCACACTTCATCGCAAATCATGCACTGTAATCTTTCTCTGGCCCCCAAATCACAGAACAAGACGCCGAGTCAGCAGAAGTTGGGCAAGGAAATGGGAGAAGTGTCGGGAAACGATGAGTATGAGAGTTGGATGAAGTCGCGACAGCTGCAGAGGCCAGAGGATCAGTTGGATCTCACGGAAGCGGAGCTGAGTGAGGAGATCCCCAAGCTGCTGACCACCGAAAATACCAATATTGTGAAGAATCTCGTCATCTACAGCTTCAAGGATGGCGGATTCGTCAGCGTGAGTCTCTCTAAATGTCCAGGAATATGTTCCTCACGTCACCAAGAATTGTGTGAATGGCTTTCAGGCTCCTTCCATGGGGAACACCGTGACTCTGTTTCAATTCGAGGGATCTTCTCTTCATGTGGACTCACCAGAAGCAAAGGCACAACTGGCCAGCATGGGAGAAGAGGGTATATCTTTCGAATTTCTCCCTTGTTGTCATTTTTTTATTCCACTTCTCAATGTTTATTAACTTGTACATTTGAACTACAACAACTTTATTCTATCTTCAGAACAATTGTTCGGTGCTTCAAATGAAATAATTTATAATCCAAATTTTGAGTGACTGAGAAATGAGTTTAAAAAGTATTCCATTATTTGCAGAGTGCAAAAAGTTTATAAGCAAATATTGCTTCACTCTTCCTTCGTCTCATTTTTCTTACAGCTTTCTCCTTTTTATCTCTATCTTTTCAAATTCATTCTCATTTCCTTCTATCCTAACTTTGTCTGTAAATTGAAGCTTTGCATGTTACTTTTCGACTCTCGAAAAATCTCTCCCAAATTCAGAGGTTGAAGAGGAATCGGAGAAGGTGGAGGAGAAACTTCCGACGCTCGATCAGGATATTCAGGAGGTAGATAAGGAGGTGGATCCCGACGGAGAGGGTGCTGATGGCGAGGCGGCTGATGGTAAATTTTTCTCACACTTTCCTCAAATGTAATTGTCTAAATGTTTTTGCTTCATGCTTCATTCCAAAGGATTTTCACTCACCAAAACTCGACTTGTAATCACATTTGATTCGACGTGCAATTTAACATTTCGCCAATATTGTAATTGTTAATTCCAGATGAGGTACTTGACGATGAACCTGGCACAGCTCAAGCTGGTCCCAAGAAAAAGCTCATCAATCAGTTTAATTTTTGCGAAAGAGCAGCGCTGACGTTCAATAATCCTTATCGTGTAAGAATTTGGAAATGTTTTAAAGTTTCAGTTGAAGAATTGAGTGAGAAAATATTCCACAGACTGTTGAAACGCAAACCATTCCGCCACCGAGATCTAATTTCGGCGGAAATGTTCTCCAGTGGGTAATCTATGATTCCTATGCGGAGGATTATGCTCAACAGCAGAAGGAGAGGGAAAAGGACACAAAGAAACCCCCACCGAAGAAGGATGAGTCGAAGAAGAAGGAGGATAAGACGAAAGCTTCAGAGCAACTCAACAAGAAGTATCTACAAAGTTGGCAAATCCTAGAAAGGATGGTTAATCAGAATATTTACGATGAAATTGCTCAAGATTATCGCTATTGGGAAGATCCGTCTGATGAATTCAGAGAAGAAGAGGGCACGCTTTTACCCCTTTGGAAATTCTCCTATGAAAAAACGAAGAAGCTCAGTGTCACTGATCTGTGCTTTAACACGCACTATTATGACCTTTACGCTGTGTGTTTCGGATCCAGTAAGTTTAATTTCCTTAATTTGTGAGAATTTGCATAATTAACACTCCTTTCAGTGGACTTTGTTAAGCAATCCGCAGAGGGATCCGTTTGTCTGTTCACCATGAAGAATCCCTCCTTTCCCGACTACCGAAGTGAGTCATATTTGCAATTTCCAATAGAATTTCACTATAACATGTTCCAACGAATTCCAGTTTGGACCGAGAGTGGCGTGATGTGCTGCGATATTCACGTGAAGTACCCCTATCTCCTTGCAATAGGTGAGATATTTCCCTGAATGTGTTTATTGATACATATTGCCAATGAATGTATTCTTCCCAAGGCATGTACGACGGCAATGTCGCTGTGTACAATCTGCAGGCCAACACCCGAGAGCCCATGTACATGTCTCAAGGCGTCAACGGGAAGCACCTCGAGTGTGTGTCAGAGATCAAATGGGGTCCGGATATGACGGATGGCGAGCTCAATTTCTACTCAGCTTCGTCGGATGGGAGAGTCTTTAATTGGGTTCTCATGCAGAATAAATTGGCTATCACTCCTATCATGACGCTCTATCTCGATCGAGATCTGGGAGGATGTCCTGATGGGACGGACATAAAACTCAAGGGATGCGCCACATGCATGGTTTTCCATCCTACAAATCCTGAGATTTTTCTTGTAGGAACAGAAGAGGGTCTGATCTTCAAGTGCAGCACCGCTTACAGTTCTAAATACCTGATGACATATCAAGCTCACTACTTACCTATTTATAAGATTGATTTCAACAAATACAACTCCAATATCTTTGCCTCCTGTTCGGGCGATTGGAGGATCAAGGTTTGGGAAGACATGCGAGGGTGAGTATTTGTGACTCTTGTCGAAATTTATCGTACATTTGGACTTTATCATTCCCAAAGCGAACCTCTTTTCATCTTTGACCTGGCTGCAAGCGTGGGCGATGTGAAATGGGCTCCTTATTCAAGCACCGTCTTCGCAGCTGTCACAACTGAGGGAAAAGTGTTCGTATTCGACTTGAATGTGAACAAGTACAAGCCGATCTGCATTCAGGCAGTTGTTTCCAAGAAGCGCAACAAACTCACACGATTGGCTTTCAACCAGAAGTTGCCTTTCATCATTGTGGGAGATGATAAGTAAGAACGCCACGGAAGTGTCACATCTTATTCTAATTATCTTCATTCTTGCAACAGAGGCACAACGATTTCCTTGAAATTATCCCCGAACCTTCGACTAAAGGTGAAGCCACCGAAGAAGCAACAGTGGATGGATCAGGCCACTCTCGAATCTCAAAAGCTAGAGAAGCTTCTGTCCTTGGTCCGAGAACTGCCAGAAGGTGAGAAAATCAAAGATACCGCCACAACAGTTGCTTCTGGACGAAATTAGAAGTATTGCAAAGAATCTCATGTCTATTGTTTAAAGCATACTGTATAATAAAACACACACAAGGAAGACTGAGGTATTTCAATACTATAAGGTCACATCAGGTCCATTTTCTGTGAGATTGTGTGGCTTTGAGTCGATGATGCCTGGACACCTCTCAATCTGGCAAGTAACGTGCTGAATATTGAAGGAATCTCGCGCGAGCGAAGTGACTGATTTTAGAACTTTATCACTCTTCGCTTGATGATCTGCAAATTAGTTAATTGATTTACTTGGAAAGACAATGATTGAATTGAGGAACTTACCTATGATCAAGTGTACAGACATCACATGCAAATCCGTGCTGAGGCTCCAGACATTCAAATGATGCACTGACTTGACCCCATCAATGCAGTAAATTTCACGCTCAAGCCTCGTAAGGTTGAGGTTTTTGGGAACAGCATCCAGAAGAACTAATACTGCGTCTTTTATGATGTGAAAAGTGGTGAACATGACGATGATCGAAAAGATGAAGGTGCAAATAGGGTCGGCGACTTTTGCACTGGGCTGCAATAGAAGTATTCACCACATAATTTTGATGTCTTCAATATGACTATTTTATCTGACTTACGAAAATCTTTATGATAATTGCCGCTATCAAGACTCCTATGCTTTGAATAAAATCCCCGATAATGTGGATCATTGCTGCTCGAACGTTGATATTTTTGTTAGATTTATTGCTTCTGTTGAAGCCTTCCTGTTGCTGAATAGTCAGATCAATTTCCTCATTGAATCTCTGAGCGGAACCATTGAGCTCCAGGACTGCGTAGTCTTCGGTTGGGTGGCAATTGTGCGAAAATGTCCTACCATCCGAGGAGGACCTGCAAATACAAATGAGAGTTAATGAAAGTGTCAATCACAGAGAGTAATAATTGAGCCTCACCTTCCCAGCGCAACATCGAAACTCTCTCTCCGGATCTCTGTGGCTTGCATGTCTATTACGTCGTCCAGAACGGCGGCTCCGTTGCACCCACTGGCCTTGCTGAAAGAGTTGTGGCGACTGTGCGTCGTCATGAAAGAACTACTGTGCAGACTTAGGGGATTGGGCAGGGCGACGTCGAGCCGGGCTCTCGGCGCTTCCGCCAGAGTCTTTTTGGTGTGGTCGCTATCACAGCTGTCGTGAGTGTGGGAGTGGGCATGAAGGACACTGGAGCAAGATCCGTGCAGCACTATCGCCATTCTGCAAGTGGTTGGAGTGAAAGTTGAAGTGCTCTCGGAGAGTCTTCAAGGCTACACTTACGCAACATTGAAGGCAACTCCCACGGAGGAAATGATGATCATGGTGTTGGCATCGATGTCAAAGTCCCAGTTGATGGTGCGCAAGATGGCGAGGTAGATGAGCACGCCAGTGAGCGCCCAGATGCCGAGAATTGATACAACTGCTCCAGCCACTTCGACTCTCTTGTAGCCAAAGGACATGTGCTCATCGGCGGGTCGCTTGGCCAGCCAGATTGCGCAGAGAGCCACAATGAAGCTAATGCAGTCGGAGAGCAGATGAGCAGCATCTGTAATCACAGCAAGGCTCCCCGCCAGGTACCCACCAATGAGTTCTGCAATCTGTAAAGGGAAGATAGAAAGAAATTTCTGCATTCTCAATATTTTCAGCACTACGTGGTATGGGGAAACACGCGCATTTTTTCGTACGTGATTCTTTACTTTGTTGAATTTTCAAATGTGTAATTGAGAGTATAAGTCTTATGTGAACCACATTGTTCGCTTAGACGTCACTGAACAAATTAACATTTTGCTCGAAAAAAATTACAAGTTCACAGAATAATTTGGTGAAAATATTTGGGAGTTAAAAAGCATATAAACGATGCAAACCATATCGTATAATTATGAATTGAATTGAGTGTGATGAGGAACGTGTCAAACTAATTATTAGCGATTGTCTCGATAATTGACTGCAGGTACTCACAAGTATTATCAAAAGTACTTGCAAAACAATTTCAAAGATTATCTTCTCTATAAATTAATATTATGGCAGAGACACGATATTTAAAATAGAAATAATTTGTCTGTTTAATTATTTGTTAAGTCACAATATGAAACACGTTTTTCATTGCCTCATAAAAAATTTCAAGGTTATATTTTCGGCTGATAAAAGAGGAAATGTTTTTTCTCTAATCTATAGCTTGTAGTTTACACGTGTAAAGTTCAACAGTATTCACACAAAACTAGTATTATTTGAAATCTAGCTTTTTCTTTTTTAATTATATCACACTATCACTGATTTTACCATGAAGATTGTGCAGATGACTGTTGCTATGAGTAGTTGCTTTTGAGCTTTAATACTCTGCAAATCCGCTGTTGGATGCCGAAATCCTTTTTGGCCGTAGAAACATCTGCTGCCCTGCTGTCCGTGATGGTCTTTTCCATTTTCCTGTAAACGCACACAATGTTAGTCAATAGCACAACACTTTTCCGATGAGATCTTACGTTGAGAAGTGGTACATCGTCTGGAGAGCGGTCATCAGAAACAACAATTGGTATTGAGGACTCATCATCGAACAATTTGATGTAATCAGCCATGATGTGTAGTAAAGTTAGCCAAAAATCAGCTCCTCTGGCATCGATCACAGGCTTCCACACTCGCGAGGATTGACGGAATGTTATCAGAATGTCGCGAATAGCTTATTACAAATGTTTCTCCTCAACTTCACCAGCTTCTTATCAACCCACCCGCGATTATCACTCGAGTCTCAGATAATTTCTACACGAGCTCTTGTGGCCACTTCTCCCATTTTCCTGGATACTGGAAAACGTCTCTCATTCAATGTCATATTTGTCGTCTGCGCTGCAAACCTGGAGAGGGAAATATATTGAACGCAATTGAAGATCATTTATCGAATCGTGAGTTGGTAATATTTCCAGCTCAATGCAAAAGTGCGAAAGGTAATTTAGTAAATCAATATACAAAACGAAAATATTTTTGCATGACAATTACACTGGATTGTCGCTACCAATTTGCACAATCACTCTCCATTTTGCAACCATTTCCACCAGACATCGGAAAAAACCAACATTTCTTAACACCCCGCATATCGCTCCAGAGAATAGAAAAATTATCATTAGCACAAAAACTCTCAACACTATGAATCACAATTGGACTTTTTGACACTCCAAATATTTTAAGTTTTTTATTTCGCTTTCGGTGAAAATTACCATCCAAATTGTATGGATTACCATTTCAATTAACACGGTCTATCAAGTAAACTTAGTAAGTTAAAGGCATAAAATATTTCCCTCCAATTATCACAATAAAATACAAACACACACTAAACAAAAGATATATTCACTGCTTCAGCAGACTTAAATGAGTCTTATCGAGAGGTGTGAGTCACTGAGGAGTAAGTGGCGACTGTAATGCATTGTTTTGAGTGTGCGTGCGCAGTAAAATCAATCTACTCAATGAGCATATCTTGCAAATGTGTCCTTTATGCAAGCGTTTGTCGCACAAAATTATTTATTGCGACAGCATTCTAATCAAGTAATTTAAATTTAATCTGCCAATAACACATTTACACTTTTCTATCAATTCAATGTGAGCAAACACATATAAGTGTGACAAATAAAATTTTAATTAAAGTATGACCGTGTTTTTCTTTATAATCAATTTAAGCATATAAAATATGCAAGAGTGAATCATTAATGAAAACAAAATCAATCATAGACTCTTTAAACTACAGCATTTCCTCTGAATCGTGTCGAAATCCTCTCTTATGTCTTTTCTTTACATAATTTTCCAATAATAGTGTTTTTTTCACTCGACTTTTTAGCACGAACGTGAGTTATTACATTGCAATTATTAAATTGTCACTTAGTTCGATTGGAGGGTCGTTGCTCTCTCTCTCTGTCTTTCCCTCTTTCTCTCTCTGATACTATAGATACTTTTAACTTATAGCTTTAATGTTATTAATTGTTTGATGTTAGTTGAATTAATCTGAGCAAAGAAGCGTGAGTTAAGTATTTCCATGAAACTTTTGCCACGATCTCTCATCTCAATAGCACACATAACTTTTCTACTCAGCGCAGAATCTTTGAACCCATCAATTTGTTATGCTTATGCCAAAACCTGCTCCGTACACACTTTTAAAGTTGGCCAACTTCACAAAGTCGGTGAAAAAGAAACGTGTTGATTTTTCCGCGCCGATTTTTCTCGTTCAGCAGAAGAAAAATCGAGCCATTGTTGAGGAAGCAATTGAAGAAGTAAAAGTGCAAATGCGGTGAGCACGGAAGTGAATATCGACAAAATCAATTTCACGGAAAGGATTTTTACTAACGAAAAATAGCCAAAGGTACTAGTTAACAGCAAAAACGTCACGTTTTGTTGACTTTCTTTGTACAAACTCTGCGCTCCAGCAGCTCGTTTTCACACCATCACTTCAGCATTTTCACTGAAAGCCACTTCTCTCGTAGTTCTCAGTAGAATCACAAGTTGTACTGTGTACTATCACTGACACACGCAACACACCTTTTAGCTGATTATCTCGCAGAACACAGGCGAGCGTTCGTCTCCGAAATGTGAAAAAGCTGGTAACTTTTCAAGTTTGCATTCTGAAAAAATTATCACTTGCCAGTGTCTAAATCGGAAGATGTTTTGTGTTTGAATTCAATGGCACAAATGAGAGATGTAGAAACTTTATACCTGTGCTACACTCTCATACTCTCTCAATCAACTCTCACTGACTCTCTATGCTCATTTTCAACAGGTGGGTATACCTCATGATCAGCCGTGGAGCACCTTTCGTATGCGGACTATCATATGTTTATCTTTGCGAGGTTCAAAAGATTTATATTAATTAACTCAGGGCAAAATATGGAATGAAGAACATCTGTAAGAGCGATTTATCTGGGTCAATAGTCCTGTACTGATGTTACTATGTCTCTTATAGTGGTATTACAATGTCACATAGAGTACTGAGCATTAACGATTATTCCATTTGAAGTGGAAACTCCGTCCATCACCATCTGGTCGTGGCCATCTGCACTGCTTGTTGGTTCAAAGCTCGACTGAAGATGACTCGAAAATGCTCCGCGACTTCACAGTGCTGATGTTATGTGTGTGGTGCTCGAGGAATGGCAAATGAGGGTGTCAGGTGAGAAAGAGGTGTTCCGCGAGAGATTTCTTTATCTCTACATTTCTGACATGTGGTGCTTCTTTGAGCTTCCCTCAAATAACCATGACATCAGCAGAAATCGAAAGCGGCACGTTAATGTCTGGCCTGCCCAGTGAGGAATAATGGGAATACGATAATAACAGTTCTGGGTGTTGAATCAATTTTCTATTGTTAACCACGAGCGCACTGAAGCCTCCTCGACTTTGCTCTCCTTCAATTGTTGCCGTGGAAGATGAAATAATTTTCACAGGAGCTACTGGTTCTTGCGCATTCTTCACGCTTATTCCATCACGGGCAGATTTCTTGGTTCAGCTCTATGCATTTGGCAAGTGATCCGATCGACTAACTTGATTTTTTAATCCAAATGGCACATCTGCATAGTGATCTAAAATCTTTTTCAAATCACATTCACCAGAGATAACACAGAAATATTATTTTGTCAGCCCAGGAACAATAAATCCAACCAATTTCTACCACAAAAAAGTGTGAATTTCTGCTGACTCTCAATATTCTGCGTGAAGCAGAACATTGCTTCATATAGAATCACAACTATCGTAAGATAGAAAAAAATCACTTCAGTATTTCTTAAACAGCAAAAATACCGATTAAATCATGGCTAAATTATGTGTACACTCAAATTATTCTGATCTGCTAATTGTCTGTCATTTTCGCTTCTGAAAGACGTCAAAATTACTATACATGTCGATAAAATTAAATTACATCTCTATCATGGCTATACAATAATTTTACGGATTGCATATGTGAAATTGTGAAGTGATGAGAAGCTAAAAATTATTTTCTTTTCATTACAACTGACCTTCCGTGGCCTGCTATGACTATCAGGAAATTCTGGAACGGTTTTGACGAAGCAGAGGAGGATAACTTGTGGTTAAGTGGCGCCATCCTTGAGTTACTGCAAGTCACAAACTTGAAATACAATAGAACATTTTCCCAGGGCGAAGGAATCCACATGCATTGTTGGGGTTTTATAGAAATCGCTGATGTTGAAAAGAACCATTGTTGGTCTTTCTTTAGGTCAAGAGCGCCAAATTGGTAGGAATCAATTTTAATAATTCTTTATGCCCTATAAATTCGATATGAATTCTTAGTAAAAATGTTTTTTTTTTCTTGGGCAAATCACCTGTATTTGAGGTGCCAGATGAAGTGTCGTGAAGGAAACATCACCATCTCGAGGAAGACTCTTTTATAAGTTTTCTTCTTCGTTTTGTGTCGTATTTTGCTGGAATATGAATGATGATTGATTTACAAATTATAGTCTTCAGCGGATGGCAAATTGCACACCGCAGAAAGATGCTGATGTGACTCTGCCACCATGCGATGCACTTAATTGATTCCCTGAAATCCGGACAAATCTTTTTTACTCATCTTCCCTACAGCATGGCAGTTTCTGTCACTTGCGATTCTCCAATTCATTCCCTCTAGGACAAGACTGCAATCACGCCAAAAACCGAAGATGATTTGGCAGCAGAAGGGGTAATTACTGATAATTGAAGTGTGCCAAAAGTTTCGCCGCAGCGACATGGAAGCCTGCGACACGGTGCCGTTATTTCGCTTTATTGATAAAAAAAATACCCACCTTCTGGCTACTTGAGACTCCTCAGGTGATTATTAATTCACAAGGATTATGGTGTTTATGAACAGGCAGGGGAGTGCATGGCCCCAAGGCAGTTCTTTCGCATACATCTTGCTCTGTGATGACGGCGATGGAAGGAAGTTTCTTTATTTCGGTGCTCCTCTTCTAATTTTCTACATAAGTGGAAAGGTAATATTTTCAACCAAAGTCAATGTTAATACATTTTTCCCTGTCAACACATCTTCGAGTGCTAATTTACTTTTCTTCAACATACAAAAGATATTACTATCTTCCATTGAATTCTTAATAAATTGCTTTTTAAAGAACATTTGTAAGGAATTTTTCAAATTACATTTAGTTATAAAATATGCTTAGTATCTTAAGTTCTTAAATAAAGACACGCTATTGCTAAAAGGGACTAATTAATCACTCAAACTAAGACGAAATGCGAATGCGGAAGTCTTTTTCAATCGACATTTCGTGCACATAAATTGATATAAAGGAATGTAGACAATTAAGGATTTTCTGAGTGCAATGAGTCAATTATTTTTTAAAAACTCTTTGCAGGTGTTGGAGATACTTTGCTGAATGTAATCGCTTACAATAATCTGAAATAGCTTCTAACAGGTAAATTAAAAATAATTTTTACGAGACAATAAAATCGCCAAAAAAGCATTTCTGACTTCTTCCAACACAAATCAATCATACGATGTTCCTCTCCGTCTCTGTTGGGCAAATTTTCGTAGACGCTGGAAGATTATCATAGTTTTGAAGTGGGGATTTGTGGTCAAAGAGTCGCTTATATTGTTTGTCTCTCGCCCATGTGTTGGTCGGTGGTTGTCAGATCAGTCACGGTGTGGCGTGCTGCTCGGCGATTCTCTCTCGGCGGATGTACATATGTGTTGGTTTGGTGAGAAAGAGTGGAAGCTTGTCTTCCCTTTCCGAGAGAGCACCACGCCCAGGCCCGCCCCAAAACCATAGCAACACACCGGAGAGCGATCCGAGAGTACCGGGTGCTTCCAGCTGTGCACTCGGCATCTCCCACCTCATTCACGAGGCCTCCGTTGGCTTCTCGCAGCCTGAGAACTCTCATCTCGCCGCAGAACCCCAGTGTTCAGCTGAGCCTCGCGGACGGCGCATGCGTTTCTCTCACTCTTGCGGTGCAACTTCCTCTCGTCCGATCTATCGAGATCCTGTGCGGAAAATTCGCGGAAAGAACGGTCTTTTGAAATTGTGCGAGGCAAAAAAGTCGCGAGTGCAGAAGGAGGTTGAAATCTGACGAGAAAATCTCCAGGCAAATCTTCAAAGTCCTGAGCCGAGAGGATTCAAAATACAAAGTGAAGCACGGAAAAATTTGTTTGAAGTCTCGACAGGACGAAAAATAGCATCGTTCCGGACAAAGTTAACCGTGTTATCCCCCTTGATGCACAATTTATAGCCTCGATCCCGCCGATCGACTGCAGTGTCGTTTCCTGGATCTCTCGGGTCCTTCGCACCGTAAAAATCTAATGAAGAGATCGTTTCTGGTGTTTTATTGACTAAGACCTGTGTTCCTGAAGGCAGTGCCCCAAAAAGTGGAATGTATCCATCAGCAGAGGCGCAGAGACAAATATAAATAATTCCTTATCGATGAATAATCTCTAAATGACACACACGGTACTCTAAATTGCTTCTTATCACCACGATACATCTCTCTTGGGGAGTGAAGAAGATTCGACTTTTTGGCCTTCTCGCCAGTGACAGAAAAAGGAATCTTGCAGGCGGCTACAGAAGAGAGGAGGAAGACAAAAAAGACGATAAAAATATTCTAATAAATGTCATCCACTCTCCTGAGTCTCCTAAATAATTGCTGAAGAAGAATTTTCAACAACGCCGATTTCATACCGTCCAGGTGAATCTCTTTCGAGAGCGCCGGGTTGTTACCCTTGAGTGTGGACAATTGAAGGGGTTGCTGGACTGAATCTAACTGTCTCAAACGAGCAAACGCCGGCTGAAGCGAATCGGGATTGAAGAACTTTTGGTGAAAAGCTTACCTCCGACTTTTCCGGTTTCCTCATCGGTGCTTAATAAAACCCCGCCTGAAACCTATTAAAGACCAAGACCTCAAAAAGTGTGAAGTGTTTATTGTGTGACTCTCAATTCCCAGGTTGAAGATAATAATTTTCGCCTGTGAATTCTCAGCACTTTGTCTTTTCCGGCCAACTCTTGGTATTTTCCCTCACGTGTTAGGCGAAAAAAGAACTCACCAAGTTCCATTCTAGAGTCATTAGAATTTGAATAGTGCGTCTCCTCAAAAAAAAAGTGTTGTGCGACGCACGCAATGATGCATTGGTGATTTGCGTCAGTGCGAACTAAGCTTGAGATATTGTGAGGCGAAATTTTACCTCTTGAGAAAGGGGTGCCCTTCGCACGGGCTCCGTTGACAACGATAAGCGGCACAACGATTGAGGCGCTTATGGGCGTCTGCAATGAGGAGCGCCCTGTAATGCATTGGGTAAGTTGTCCCTAAATTCTCTTCTACCAATTTGAAGAAAACAAACCCCGTGCTGACTTTCACATTGCAAAATATACCGCAGTCCATGAATGAGAATTCGTGAAATTGTGGAGCAAAATTATACTTAACTTAAGACTGACGCAAGTGATTGGAAAAGACTTTGCGTTTTTAATCTAGAACGAAGTGTGAGTTCTTGCATTTTACACGATAAAATTTCGTGATCTCAAAATATTGCATGCAAAGTATTGAGTGTGAATCTTTTTCTTGCCTAAAAGAATACTTATTTAAAATTTATTGTGGTCACAAGAGTGAAAAGTAATGTAATTTTAGGGTATTTTGTATCTTTCTTCAAATTATGCCGGATGTTGTATATATTTTAGTGAATATATTATTGGGAGAGTTCCTTTTTCTTAATTTCAAAGGAAGAATTTTATTACATTTATTGATTTTCTTTATTATATATTCATACAAATATGTATTTTAGGGTTATTTCCAACATTAAGAGTGACCGCAAACCTCATAAAAGAATTTCTTGCTGACGTAAAGAGAAAAGTCCAGTGATCGGGGAAACACTGTTGAGTTCTTCTGTGGGACTCCATGGCCAAATAAAGAGTGAACTTCTGAATCAGTCTCCCTTATTAGGGACGAAGGCTGAGTTGTGATGAGTGTGCGTGAAAAAAGATTCATGGCGAGAGCATAGAAGAAAAAATGTATATAAAAGATGAAAGCGGGCTTTTTTTCCTCCATCCTCCTTGCAATTTCTGCTGAGTTGGGTGTATTTTAGCATTATTAAATTGATGTTATGTGTCAAGGAATTTTATCAATTGTGCACATTTTAGTAGAGAGAGAATCACAATTGCAAATTTGCACCTCGAGTCATGCAAAAAGCCGGCCGATTGCCACCTGAATTGCTTGGCTTATTTCTTCTCCACCTTTTCAATCATGCAGCACGTCTTATGACCAAAGTGGTAGCCTCATTGGAATGAGAGTCTCGGAACCGGCAACCGGTTTCCAGCATCAGCCAGCCAATCCCCATATCTCTGAGCGCGCCATTCGACCGGCGGCGGCGGAAATTCTATCGCGCAATGGACAGAAGAAGCCACTGGTATCGATTTTTTTTTGGTCGCGGTCTCAAGACTCTGGCCATGGTCTGACTGCTGCTCTCCCTCCGGAGGAGAATTGCTCCGTGTTTTGAAAATATTTAAATCACCAAACATTTATATCTCGCGTTCTACCGGAATATCCCAAGAGAGAGACATATTTTACCAACTAATCGCACTCCTTCTCTCTCCACGCCATCAGCTTTTGGGCTCCTCTATGGGTGAATATTGTTAACGAAGACATTGATAACATCATCACGGCACTTAAGTGATTCTCATGGAGACGATGAATTCTCTTTATCATCAATTCACGAGTCTCTTGGGCTTCTTTTCTCCATCTCCCATGCTTCTTTCTCCTCCTTTTACCTGATGGCCCACCACCGTATTTATGACAAGTGTAAAGGAATTGGATGTTTTTCATTGAGTGGCGAATTGAGGAGAAGAAAAATTATCGTCTACAGATTTTTAACGAAAAATATTAAAATGTTTTCACATTGACAACCCATTCAAGCAAATTATCGTAAACAGTGGGGTGCAAAAACAGGCAGTTTGCGCGAGAGCCACCTCGAGATTTATTTTATGTTGCCAAATGAAAGGCTTGAAATTTTTATACACCACCTCTTTTTTCTGCTCAACAAATTTCAATGTTCTCCTTTTCTCATGTTAATTTTGTGTCTCTTTTTATTATGCAAACAACCACAGTGCTTTAATTCAATTACCCAAATGAATATGAGGCGAGCTTTGACGTATAAAGTTTACGGTCCAGCGGAATCGGCTGTCCATCCAGGAAAATATCATATCTAGTTAAAAGTTGGCACGTTTGTGGAATTTAAAGCATGAGACAAGTTTCCGGGTTGTTTATAAGATTCATGTTGACATTTTTTCATAATATTGATCTTCTAATCTGCCCATGAAGTTAATTTTTATGTGATTATATTATTTATAATAAGATGCAATCAATCTTTTTCTCAATAACATATCGTCTGTTATGGGGAAAAGAACTTCTTTCTGGCAATATAAGATTACTTTTCCTATAAAATTTTATATTACTTGTTAACACCTCTAAAGTTACATGAATAAATGAATAAGTGTTCTGAATAATACGCGCATTTCTTATTTTCAAGGCAATAATCATAACTATTATTAGGAATTTTAATAGAATATTTCTGTGTTTCGAGATAAAATCAATTATTTTACATCTTCATTGAATGTTGTTTATAAAAATGAAATTATTACGAGTATTTTGACCGAAATTAAATCAGAGTAAATGGATTATGATAAAAATTTTACGACTGTGACGGCGATTGCGTACAATTATTTTTCAATAAAGCGCATTTTACGGCAATTTGATCATGAAAATTTTTGTGAAGTATATTATAAATTGCTTCCACATCTGTACATTCCTTAGTTGCGAGAAAAAAGGTAAAATTCCCGAGAACTTGTGAGGGAAAAAATTCTTACGGCCGGAATTGCGGATGACACATTAACGGGCTTTCCAATAAATTTTGGTGATTCCTATCGAGAAATCGACACTTTATGCTTTCCTACAACAGTCAGATAGCACGACAAATAGCACAGCATCGATGTGATGAACAATTTAGTCAAGATTCATCAATTAATTATCATTTTACCATTAACGTTTCCTTTACTTTGTCCCACTAGTCATCGAGTCAGGTCGATAAATTTGTGGTGATTTTGGCGTAATGTGAGAAAAATGGAGATGCAAGTTGAAAGATGAGAACATAGGCTTAGTGGCTGGAGTGACTCTGAAAAAGAAATTATTTATTTCGCTGCATTGAGCTGAATGAGTGGAGAAAGAACTCGACATATGATTTATTGCTATTGTTTCACGTCATCATAATTCAAAATATATCAAGCAGATGAAAATTTCTGGAGAGGGTATAGAAACAGAGGCACATTTTCCAAGAAAGACCATGTCTTTGCATGTTTTTGCCGGGACGATGAGTAAAAAAAATATGATACTGAAAAGCAAAAGTGATTCGAAGAAAAATAGCTCTCATTTCCTCTAATGATTTATGCCACCATTTTTAATCTCTTTTCTTTCGCGCGTAAATTAAATACTTGTGGCCGGTGATTTTATACAAACTGACAGATAAAATGCAAATTTGTTGCTGAATTGCTAAAATCTTCACTCATTGACTGTCTTAAATAGTTTTTTAAAAATCTTAGTTCTAAGATAAGCCTTTATCATAACTAGTCTCAGTTTAAGCTTGAGATTGTCTTCTTTGTCTTAATTTTTTCGTTGCTGTTTTTTATAATGTCCACTTGACACGATTTTGCATTGGGAAACACTTTAATAGATGAGAAGAGTTTGACTTTGTGTGGGAAAAAACAAAATTTAGCGACAAAGCTGAAACAAATAGAAGAGTGTGACGAAATGTAAGCATAATTTTGTGGGGTGGAAAAAACGTAGTAAAAATTTTAATTTCATCCTAAAACCTCCCATTACGCATTTCTTCTGCCAAAAGAGAGATGTAATTTGGACAAGTAATTGGACAAAAGTGTCCAAGAAATTCACAATATAAGGTTAACCAATTTTACAGACATTTCACAATTTGCAGTGAAACTGGACAGTTAAAAGTCTCACCCAATGATCATTAATGACCTAGACGTGGATAAATTAATTCAGTGTGAAAAAGACGAAGGAATCAAAAAATTAAAATGACTTTTCCACTGCAAGAATTTCATCGATGTTTGCATTTTTAATTGCCAAGGAATACATGCTCCAGTGCGGGGAGTGTGATTTAATGCAGTATTTAAAAGTGTAATTACACCTTTAATTATATACTATTAAAATTATTTAAGAATAATTACATATTCCGTCGTCATTGAGACGTAAAGTGCGTAAAATGATATACAGTAGCAATGTGTTGCATATATGTATTGCTATGCGCTTCAAGAAAATGTCTCAATGGAAAATGTTGAGTACGAAGAAATGATTCTTGAAGTGGATGAAATTATATTGCAAACACTGCAAATGAGTTCTTTTTTACACACGTGTGTCTGTGGAATTTTAGAATTGATTATAATTCATATGAGTAGTAAAATCATTCTCAAGTCATTCAATATATTTTCTTGTATATGTAGAACGATCTCTTGAAATCAACTAACTTCTAACAAGATCGTAAAATTTAAATAAAAAGCCTCGAACTGATCGGTCTATTGTTTCATGCGATGAAATTACAATTGGCGGTTTGCCGACAGGTGTTGAATTATTTTCAATACAAATCTCATGATTTGGTGCTGAAGTGCGATCGCTTAGGATAATCCAGTGATTTACATGGAGACCATTTGAGACAAGATCAAAATAGTGAGATTACGAGTCAATCGAGAGTGAAAAGTGGCTACTTTGAGCTTAAGCGACGCCTGTTACACGAATCTCAAGTTAATTTGATTTAAAGTGGCGGACTTTTAATTGTTCGATCATGAGTTATGGTGTGGTCTGTTGGCAAACACGATCTTTGTTTGCAACATAAAGTGGGTAGATCACGCAAATTAAGGGATCTATTGAAAGAGCATTTAAGAAGTATATTGCTTGTTCTGGAAATGTTTCCAAAAACATGATCGGTTGATGATCTGAGTGATGGTGAAGATGAAGTGAGAAGTTGAAAACAAGTGAGATCATCACGACCGTCGGGTGAGGAGAGGAAAACGGGATGATTTTAGGTGCTCATTGACACTTTAATTGGTGAATGAAACGGGTTACTGAGGAGTGAGTTAAATGATCACTCATCGATCATTGTGGCGATGGGAATGCAGGAAGACAAAACGACAATTGGTGTTGTGAAATGATCACCTCATCATCGTCAGCCATGTGGATGCATTTATCATGGACAAATGACACGAATTTCGAATCTCTGCTCAATCTCATGTGACTTCCCATCCAATTGTTCAGTGAAGCGTACACGAGAGGAGTGATCACATTAACTTCTTCAGCATTTCACATGTGCTGTCGCTCTTGGTTCCCTCCTTTCTTGCACGCCAAAGTGTGCGAGGGGGCAAGAGACTTCGCAGAGCTTCGGCCAAGGTGGAGAAATCACGGCGCCAAGTCTCCCTCTCCTTCGCAATCGCTCTTGCTGTCCAAATAGCAAATACTCAAGATCTCTTATCGCTTCGTCGCTCATCCAGGAGTCTTGGCATGGACTCTATTCTAGAATTTCTTCACACTGAAACTCAATGAATGAATTTTTTGCCCGCGCTCTTTTTATACCTCTCCACCTTGTGTCTTCGATCATTTGAGATTTAGCGTGTTGGACACTGGACATGATCATGATGGTATTATGATGGATCTCCAGTGGAAACATTTCATATTAATCCAAAACACTGTGGCAGGGAAGATGAAGAATGAGGAGGAAATACAGATGATCTGATTTTGATTGTGCAGCAGCATGCCAAGAGGTGAAAAAGAAACCTTCATAAGATGGACTTTTGTTTTACCTTCTCCCATCATCGAACTATTGACACACGATCATCAATCAGAGGCCCACGCTTTTCTCCTGTGGAGAGAGAGAAGCTGATCGTCTCAATATCTCTCAATCTCTTTCATGAAATGAGAAGGACATGAGCAAAATTTACTTTTTAGATCTGTCGAAGATCACTTAACAAATTCACCCTGAAGATCATTTAGAATTCAAGAGAAAATAATTTGTTGTGACACGGTGCGATCGTATACATTAATTGAATATTCATAAGCTCTATGTAATTTTATTGTGTTAATTTCCATATCACAAATTTATTGATCACTGAAACTTACTCGAATCCAATCACTTAACTCATCAATTTAATTTTTCGATGACTTCATAGAAGGTGTCAGAGTGAATTTCTCCGCTCAATTCTCCGTTTATTGAGAAAGCGCTATATTTGATGATAGGCAAAGAAAGCTGGAAGAAATGTCTCCGCGTGATCAAATCATAGAACAACACTCTGACTGGCCCTATTTGGCGACCTCTTAATCCGCCTAGTTCATAACATCAAATTGACCTTTGCATCAGAGCCAGACGGATTTATTATATGTTTGTTATTTTTCTTCGAGTCTCAGTCAGTCTCACTACTATAGCCGCTCATTATCAACACCACCAAGATTCAGCGCGCCTCCAAGACGCAGGGAAAACCGCCACTGAGAAATGAAAAATGTGGAAAAGTCTATAAGAATGGCAGTAAAAATGAGACAAACTTTTAGATGAGAGTTCATTTCGGTTCAAACGAGCGATAAGAAAATTCATTTGAAGAAATTGTTATTATTTCCAATTTGAAAGATTATCAAGTTTGTCTCTCCGTTTTTGCTCGCGAGCGCGCGGAGAAAATACAGAGTTGTTTGTTGTGAAGATCACCGGCTTTACGCTAGCTTTTACTCTGTGTATTTTTTTTATGAATATCACTGAATTTTCTTTGGGTTGAAGAAAGAAATGATTAAAAATTGAAATTTGGGATACCATAATTCCAGAAATAGTAAAAATTTATGGGACTGCTTAATTGTTTGGTACAGTAAATTTTTTAGTTTTATAATAACGCAAAATTTACTTGAACAAATAAATCCTTTTTATGATTTTACAAACTCCTTTCCTTCTTTCTGTAATCTCCATTTTCGCAAAATTATGAATGGGTCGAAAAGATTTCTCAAAAATGCTATAAACACATAAAAATCTTAAACAACTCTCTTAATAGACAGCAATAAAGCCAAATTTGTATAAAAATCGCACTTATTAAGATAAGAGATACACCGAAATTTATATTCACAACGGCATACATAAATCTTTCCGCCAATTTAGTGATATTTTTATCATTTTTGCATCACGTCCTTGTCTCACTATCTCGATTTTCAAATTTAATAAATTTCTTGCATTCTCTCTGAAGATCATTAGAGGCAAATTAGCGTCATATTTTGTCCAAATTGGCAACAATTTTGAGCCCATCTCAGATGCGAAAACATACCAAAAGTGTCCCTCAAATGCCGAATGGCCTCTACAAATTTCGGTCATATCTTTTTGCTGCTAAATCACGCGAAACAGCGTGACAAGTGATCAGCTTGAACACATTTCGCGTCCATTTCAAGCCTGTCAGGCAAGCGCCAAAGGTGGGTGGATGGGAGGAACTTGTAGAATAATTTGTAGTGTTTAATTAATAATTGCACATTAGTCGCTATTTGTTTCACACTAAAGAGACATGCGTTTTCCGCCGCACTCTCACTGTCGCGCACACACACGATATTTATGCGGAAAGACGGGAAAGACGATGACTCTCGTGATTAGTTTGCCTGCCACTTGTAGGTCGTGAACTCGGAGTCTCCACTTTGCCTCGCGCTCCATTCATTTGTCTACGTGTGGCATTCCACGGCGATAGAAGGAAAATCTTCATTTTTATTGCGTGAATTTTCACCATATTTCATTCCATGAACAAGTGCAGTGTGATCAGAAGCCACTGAGGTTAGAGATGGAAGCCGCTCTCGGTTGTTTTCACGTGTAGACTGACTAAATAGACAATCATTAGACTACTATAAGGTTTATTATTGTTGAGATATCAATTTCAGATGGTTACAAAACTGTCACAAGGCGTTTCAAAATGCGTATATATGATGATTTTCTTTGAAAAGACTGATTAGGCATAAAATTTTCAATAAAATCTTTCATAAATTCTGCGTACTCTTGAAATATGCAAGAAGAGTAAGATAAAAGACCTTGATTTTATGTTCAGTTCAAAGTGTCATTTTTGATTAAGAGACGATCACTTTGAAGAGAATTCTGCCAGCACGTATTTGTAGTTTATTGCCTTACTTCTCAATGAAACTACCATAATTCATAATAATTATTTGAATGATACAATAAATATAAAGCTCAAAACGCTTATAAATATTTATGAATATGCTTGTGGCATGTCTTGGAGTCAACGATGTACTTGCATAGCAAAGTGACTGGAAAGTTTTTTTTAGTGCAGAAAAAGTTGTAGAGAAAAATATTTCAATTTTTAATACGAATAAATAGCCACCGTCTGGATCTGGAAGATAAACTTTAACATGTACTATGGAAAGCCGATGGGAAGCAAAGTTGGCATTTTAGGTAAAAATGAAAAAAACCCGTTTTTTGTAATGAACGCTCGTTCAGCTTTGTGCGAAAGTGAAGTGATATCTGGCCGCCAGAGTCACTTGGGGTGGAGAAAAAGTGATAAGACTTTGTGCACTTGCTCTCAATAAATTACACAATTTGCACATTTAAAATGTATCTCGTCAGTGATGCACACGAAGGTGAAATGGATGGGTGTATAATTCTCATGTGGAGTGAGTAAGAGACCTCACAGATACACATAATTCAATAATAACGTGAATATACGCAATTATGCGATAATTGAATAAGAAATGCACTTGAGATCCTTTTCGGCATTCCCGTGAGCGTCTTGATTCAACTACCGTGTCTTGCATGTGGTTATTTATTATATCATCATATCGCAATATAAATAATTACAGCCACATTAATTATACTTTTTGATGGCACATTTATCCTAATTTCATATTAAACTTTCCGCAACCCAATGCATTAATAATTTCACCGACGATGATTTTAAGAAAAGTCAGCACGGAAATCCACAAGCCCACGGGTATTTTTGTTCTATCGTACACCACTGTCATCTCTCTGCAAATGCCTTTTTAATGTACAACTGCAACCAAATTATCAATTTATTTGCATATTTTCCCCCTTTCATGCTTCCCCATCGTTGCGCATAACAGCAGCAGAGCGCAAGATTCTTCGGGCCGACGAGGGAAAGAAGTCCCACTCTTCCAACACCCGTGATAAGTGGCCAATGTACAAACAGGAACAACAACCACCCACTCCATAGACCCTGTGCCTCCTGTCTAGAGCCCTGTGAGCACATCGGAAAGCCCTTCGGGCCCAATCCAGTGTATTCGGACTCATGCCGCAGGTAGGACACACTCGAGGCTTCTCGACTACCATCAGAAATAACCAACCTTGTCTTCCCCTCAAGCAACTACAAGTCTCCGGAGCATGGCGGCCTATTCGAGGACGCCTCCCTCAGTTACACAGACTTGCCCAAAGAATGTCTGGAGCGCACGAGTGTGCCCACGGGAAGCGGCGGGGCGGCCAGCGCAGGCTCTACCACAATGTCCGATCAGTATCTACAGCTGAAAGCGGAGCCATCGGCACCCAGCAGTCCAGAATCCTCCTCGGATATTCCCTCCTCCAATCCTGACGACTGCGCTGGATGTGGCCAGTTGATACAGGTAAAGATACCCAGATTATATGCACAGATAGATCTAAAACACTCTAAAAGTTCTGATCTTGGGATATCTCTAAAATGTTGGTTTTTGGAAAATGATTTCTCATGTGTTTGTCGCTTTCAGGATCGGTTTTATTTGTCAGCGGTGGAGAAACGGTGGCACGCCGGATGCCTTCAGTGCTGCATGTGTCGCCAACTGCTGGAGGGCGAGACTTCCTGCTATGCCCGAGATGAGAACATCTACTGCAAGACCGACTACTACAGGTACGTGAGCTCCCTGACGTTTCTCCCAATGAGAGTCTGATCGGCGTTTCACGTGCGGCGAAAGTTCATTAGCGATCACTTCTCACAAGATCGTCTCCTAATCGCGCCTGAACATCTTTTCAATTTGTCTTTCACTGATCTTATAGAGATCTTGGGTGGTGTTTTTTTTTTCAACTTGGCTCATAGCAATTGAATATAGATTTCGCATTATTGTTATACACCAGCAAAATTCACTTGCGCGCGGGATTTCATGGTTCTGCAATTTTTACCATCACACCGCCCACGAATTTCCGAAAGACGCTTACCGCGAGGCACGCAGCGAATGAGCAAACAACTCAAGAGTAAATTTGACTTCCATCATCATCTGATAGTGCAAAGATTAGCGAGATGGATGTTCGGCGTTGCAGCTAAATTGGCGAATTCAATCTGCGCGAGTGTGAGAGATAATTGTAGATTTTGCACTGCTGCAGGAGCCTCGATAATCCCCGCATTCCCCTCTCGGAGTCTCATGGCTGTGAATTGTGAGTGCAGCGGAGAGTGCATCTTTAGCTTCTTTCTCGCCAGATACACCCCACAACTGCCACTTTTCTGCACGCAAACCCACGAGACGCCATCTCGCCTTTGAACTCTATGTGTGCAAAAATGATCTCCGTGGGCAAAATCTTGGCCTTTCCGTTTGGTGCACTTTTTTGCCCTATTTGCTAATTCTTCATTGCCATTCTTGTCTTTGTCTGCACAGAGGTAGTCTTTTGCAACGAGCCAGGGAGTAAATTTCCCGCCCGCGGATACATGATAATCGCGTTGAAGGTGGTGCATAGTTTCGCAATTATGATGTGTCCGTGAAAGTTCTTTCTTTCCTCCTTTTGTGCTGAAATGTACGGCAAAAACTTCCGCAACTGTGATGTAGTTCATACTTAAAAACTTTCAAGAGTGGGTGTATACAGTTAATACCATAAAGTGATGTTTTTCGAAGCTGTATAACTTTTTCTCTTGAGAGTTGGAATAGAAAGACTTTGACGTCTAGTTCATGCAGGTTACTTTTGTTAGCGCATTAGTCAGATATAAACCACGTAAAGGATTTTTTTATGTATTCAAAGAGATAGAAATCTTATCTCAAATAACTTTTACACCCCAAAATTGGCACAATCAACAAATGAATTTCGTATAACATTTTCCTGCAGTGTTTCTATATACCTAAGTAAATTATGGTAAAATCATTAAACGATTTCTTTTCACTTAATTCTTCCAACTAATAGTTGCAAAAAGCATACATTGTAAGTCAAAGTGGCATAAAAAGACTGTTATATCGCGTTATGTTCTACATTGCGTACAATTATTCTTACAATTTATTTGCATTTGAATTAACAATTTTAAAATACTACAACGTGCTGTTCTCCATTGCTCACCCTTTTTGCTCAGTCCCTCGCATCTCCTTCGTGTCATGAACAAATTGTCTGTGTTTCATATTGTGGTATGCAATCAAAGAATTTGCTTCCTATCATTAGATGAGGCATTTATGTATGAATTTCATTTGCCTTTCGTGAAAATATTGCCTGGGTGCAGAGCTTTTAACCTTTGCCGACTCTCAATCGCTCATGCGCGGCAACTGGGAGAATTTTGCATTGCGATAATTGTAAGATTTGATATAGCCGAGGAAATTACTGAAATATTAAGATTTTTTCTCGGCGACTCGTATGCATCGATGGCTGATTTGCGTGGAGTAAGAATGGCGTCTTTTGCAGAAATCCCTGTTTGGGATGCTGGATCCAACACGAAGATAGAGCATGAAGTAGAATGGTTACAGTATTGGTGGATAGGAGATAAAATAAGAAGAAAGAGAAAGACCTTCTTCATCTTCCTCCACCGGTGATTTGCAAAGAAAATGGATTCTCGATGCTAAAGCAAGTAGTTAAAGAGCATCCAGCTTGCTTTTTGTTTTTAACTCATAACGTGCAAAAGAGTGAAGCCGAAAGTGATGAATATTTTTTGTGCAATGATGTTCCATTTTCTTCACTGACGATTTTCGCTGAAATTACCTTCACGTCTATGTATGTGTCATAAGAAATTACATAATTTCCCAATATTTCCCGTGAGATGTTACCCAATTTCGTGGCAGAAATCACGAAAGTCATTGCCTAATATGCCGAATGGATAAGGAATCTCTGTCTATCAACTTCTGTTGAAATTCTCCGTGTTTTCTCTGTTTTCTTCACACAACTCCGGGCCACACTGTCGTGGTGTCTGCATTGCCCTTCATCCTTCACCCGACAATACGATAAATCACACAATTTTTGCTATAGTTTAAAAGGTTTGTTTTGATTCTCCGTGGAACATGTGGGCAATTTCAAAGATGCAATTGCTTGCCGCATCAAATGGCCAAGGCGAGGAGAAAAAGTCAACAAAATCTTGTGTGACATTCACCATTGGGCCAATTAGGCGCAACGGAAATAGTAATTGGTGTCACACACTGCAGTGTGCCCGTGATTTATTTTTTTTCGGCATTTTTTCGCTCCTCGGGTTGCCACTTTTCCCGCCTTTTGGAGTGCGGAAAAAGGAGGAACTGGATCAGAAGGTTGAATTTCCTTTGATCATGAAATCTTTTTAAAGTGGCATTAGAATATAAAATTTCCCTGGAAATTCAATTCAGCTCCTCTAAGACACCATTTTGAATTGACTTTCGGATTATATTGTATGTGAATTGCAACAGTCTCTGAATGAAAATCTTACTTCTATCAAAGTATGTGATTTCCACCTAAATGCATCTCACTCTATTTATAGTGTAAATTTTTCAGTGTTTGTGGTGCACAAGATCAAAAACTTTTCAATTTCCCTCATCTTGCACTTCCCATCGTTCTCTTTCCTTCAATCATCCAAGATGCGTGCGGCGCCTAAGGATGCGTGCGTGAAAAAGAATATAAATATAAATTGTACGGAACCTTGTCGCGCGAGAGCATGTTTCTCAGATGGAAGGAAAAACAAATATTTTATTCTAATTAGGAGAGCTAAAATATCCCCTTGAAAATAATAAAACAACTGGAAAAATTTCCTCTGAATTCACTCAACAACTCTGCCACAAGTACGCTCTCATCGCGGAATTATTGCGTCGAAGCAAAGAAAGCGCTGGGGAACTTCTTCTTTTTTCCTGAAAGTCCGACCAAATCTCCCCTAAATCACTGCCTTTGATGCTCGGAATTGGCTCTACGTGAGAGAATATGGGCGATATGAGTGTATTGAGAGGCAAAATTTCAAGTGTTGGCCCACCCACAAAAGAAATCGTGACCGAGTCTTACCATCTGATGGCTTCCATATGAATCCTCGCTCAGAGGTGGTGAGACAAGAGTCTCACCCCTCTTCACCTCTGACCGCCTTGTCTGTCTCACACATCTTCAGTTGCCTGGCACGGAGAATATGCTGCAGCCTCCTCCTGACTTGTTATCATCATCGTAAATCTTGCCATTTTGCTTCTCCTCTTCGAATTTTAAATTGGTCACACAACTCTTTTCTGCCATTCTTTCCAGCTTCGCTTTAGTCTGTGACTCAGTTTTGTGCAAAGCTCTCTTGAGGCCCTCTAAAAATTCCTGAGCTTCCGGTGGTAGCAATCAGTTGGCTCTAAACACAAATTAATCTATCCGTAGTCTACAGAATAGTCGGAATAATCAAAATGGGGTCGCTCATTTCCCACCCAGAGATCAATTTATTACTCTAATTTATGCGTAATTTCACACATTAATTCAGAATGAAAAACTTATCACTTGGCAATTGAAAATGCTGTCTTCCTACCTAAAATACGACCCATAACTGTGGCAATTAGTTCAACAATTTTTCTTCATGGCGTCTTACAACAGAGATTAAATGCCAATGAATTGAATGACATTATTATCACGCATTGATAATTGAATTTAACTGCTTTCCCAGTTTAATGATCGTTAAAATGTCATTGCTTTTATTGTATATTTTATTTATTTGCCGAAATGGTGGTGAATAGAAGAAATTCCAAGCAGATAACTTTAATTTTTATAAACCATATTAATTATCTGGAATTTTCTTTAGAGTGCTAATAATTGCTTAATTACTATATGAAAAAATTAAACGCCACACAATGTTAAATATTATTAGAATTTTAATTTGCCTTATTTTCCTGGCATGTCTTTTTTTATATTTGTCATTGATAAACAGAGTATTTTGATAGAATTGAAGACCAACTATTTCTCAGTAAGAGTTCATAATTAATTAACAATTCATTCAGAAGTATTTACGGAAAAGTTATATTTTACAACTGTTAATTTCTAGTGCTTTTCCTACATTTTCTTAATATGTATGTATGGTTTCAAAATTTCCTCAGAACTCTTGTGGCCTTGTAAACTATGTATTTCAAGTGTTTCTGGGAAATCAAAACAACTTCATGTGATGAGATGTACGATTTTGGTGTAATTTATGGAGAGCAAATTCCAATCTAAAGGCACGAGCACATATTTTCACTTTCCGTTGAAGAGCAAGTGATGAATATTGAGATGGAATTGTTTCTATTTGATGAATTTTCAACAATGTGTATTTCACTTGAAGCGTGGGAAAGCTTTTTACGACGCACTAAAAGCATTGAGCTTTTCCGTAAATCTCGCGCTAGATGGAAAAATGCCAATTGCTTCCTCAGCACGGTAACTTCCTTTAAGAGTCACTTTATTGTTGAGCTCGATGGGCAACATTGCGAATGAGCTGAGCAGAAGTGTTGATATGTGATAAAGAGTGTCTGCGGGTCATTCCTCGGGGCGTTTTGATGGCGCGTCTGGTGAGACGACTTTGTGATGCAATTTTATTCCTGTCCAACATTTTTCACCGTATGACTTTTCCAATCGAAGAGGCCATAACGAAGGAGGTGAAAAAATTGTCGGCAATGCTTTTATCATTGGCAATATCTCGTCGCAAGTTGGCGGGAAATTCCAACACATGTGCCGCCTTCTTGAGAGAGCTTTGTGCACTTTTTTATGCAACTTCCACATTGC